AAGGGTCATCATATCATAAATTTTGGGTCGGAAAACAACAGCGCCTGTTTTCGATGTAAGGCTTCGCTAGCTAGCCGATCAGCACTTTGGTTCCAACCTCGCTTCATTTGTAGAACTTTGTGGATTGGTCACGATCGAAGTCTTTCCATAGCCTTTTGACGTAACAGCTGTAATCCAAGCGCCTTGCAACCAATCTCGTCACGCAACTGCCGGATCACCAAGTTGAATCGCCACAGATGATCACCCATCGTTACAAATGATCTGTAAGCAGATGGAAGGGTAACAGCATACCCCGGTATTCAGCCTCATTCACAGTCAAATTTACTGTATACTTCGAGTATGCCACTATAATCTTTCACGCTGGCAGTTTCCACACAATCGCACTGTAAGCTATACCGTTTTGCTCGATCCGCTTGGTCCGTCAAAAAATGGCCACTGGTAGGCTCTCATCTTTCTTCAATGTAGGTGGAGGCATGCTAATGGTTTTCTTCGGCTGCTTCTGTGGGGCGATCGCGATCCGCACTTGATCTACTTCTTTGCGAGGGGTTATACTTGCCGCAAGGACACCCACTATCTCATCCTTCTCTTTCACACATCTGCTGACCTCTAACGTCCAGTTCAATAGTAGTGCAGCCCATCTTTCCAACCAACCATTGAGTCCAAAGGATTGCACAGCCATGCTAACGTAAAATATCCCGTGAGCACCTTTATCGCTTGTGATACTAACATAGTATAACCAATATTTAGCATACGAAGAAGAGCCAATAATTCTTTCTCCACCCATAGTTAACTTCATTGGTTTTCAACGTACGGCTTGTAAAAATTACTGACCGATACACGCCTTCGTGTTTCTGGAGTAAGGAATCTGATTTTGCCCATTTGCTGGCATAACCCACGATTACTAGCGTTCTATCTGGATCAAAATGTTTGAGGATCAGGGTAGTATCAATCTTGGAATTTAACATAGATAAAGCGATTGTGTCCTTCTCCCAACGATCTCTGCCTTCGGGATTACGATCGTCCCCTGTCTTGGGGTCCGTATTGCGGATGTACCCATTTGGCTTCGGATCGCGGATACATCCAGTTGGTTTCGGATCGCGGATACATACATCTTGATCAAAATCGCGATTATCCCTAGTACCAAGTAACCTGGATCTATTCGATCAGTGCGACTGATTTCATGGAAATATGCGTCCCTCAGCTCATATAGAACGAATGCATGAATCGCAACGGCGTCAATAAAATGGCTATAGTAATTCAAACTCCCCAGAAACTATTGTATCGATCGCAACGTTCTAGGAAATGGAATATCCACAAGCAATCCCAGTTTTTTTGGTGAGCTTCAAATTGGCAAGTGACACTTGATGGCCGAGATATTCCACATTTTGACGCCCCCAGAGACTCTAGGCTAGGCCCTGATCAATAAATTCCACTGATCACATGCTTCAAATAAATTCTCCACTTTTTCGTAAAGAGAAGTCCACGTGGCAGCGGGGATTAATATATCATCGATAGACGATAGTCGACCTAACACCGATTGTTTTCGATTTGTATCTGGTACGCCTTCGGTAAACACGTCGATCAACTTTGGCGATCCAGTATTAGTTGTATTCGGATCGGTTCCAGTCTTAAGAAAATCATACAGGGAGTTGTTGATCAGTCGTTGGTAGATCTGCGGTGCATTTTTCAGCCCAAAGACATGCACCAACAACTCCAACAACCCGGATGGCGTAATGAACGTTATACTCATCCTTGCAAGTTCCGTCATTTCCACAAACCAGAAACCACTTGCCATATCGAAAGCACAATACCACATCGACTTATCCATATCTTAAAAGAGTTCACTGATCAATGGCATAGGATATACTATTTACCTAGTGAGCTGATTCACTCGTCGATAGTTGATGCATAGTCATATATAAACGCCATTCTTCTCGATGATCACCACGTTCGGCGATGCCTCTGGCGATTTCGATGGTCGGATGATCTTGGCCAATAATAACCCCTTGATCAGATCTGCCGATTTATTCCAAAACTTTGGTGCTACCGGTCGTACCTGTTGCGCAATCAGGGCTACTCCACCAACGTTAATATCTCTAACGCCACCTCGCAGCCGGAGGTAATGCGTTTACGTTTACTATTAAAGGTGACGGATCCAATTAAATCAGCTGGCGTAGCTGTTCTTGATCAGATGTAAGAGGTATAGATGGATCATCCACTTGAATATCATTGATTGTCATCTCCACCGTAGAAGTTACGATCTCTGGAGCGCCATATTTTGATCCACATCTTCAGCATATAATTTTTCAGATTCGTGATTATAGACGGATTTTACAGAAAATCTTCAAACTTTCTTCGGTCTGGCAAAAAAATTTCAGTGGCGATCACTGGCGAAGCATCGATTGCGGGAGCACTTGATAGCTGGATCGTCAAATCTGATTGATCAGTGGCTCGATACGCACCAATAACTTCCGCGATTGACTGGATCGTCGAATCCAATCGATCAAGGTGCTCGATCTGCACCAACAACCTCCGTGATAGAGTGGATCGCGATAGGTAATGCTGGTGATCGTGATTCCTCTTGTTCTTTACCCAACTTTTCTTCTGATCGATTTATCACTTCACCCCGCACACCACTTTCATTTGATCGCGACGTGATCCGGGCTGGTCTCTCATCTTTCTCTTCCGTATCGTTCTCGAGTGACATAAGGTCTTCGTTGAGGTGGGATGCTGCGGCTTATATACCAGCCATCCAGTCGAATCTTCTGCAATAAATTATGTTCAGTCAACATTCGCTTTGTACGCTAGAGTCTGCCACAAATTATAGCGACGCGATATCGCAGAAACATAACCTGGTGATCGAGTTACTATATTTATAGCCATACATAGACCTAGTGGCTATCCACTCTAAGAGATTAATTCCCGATCACTCCGATTTGTCACCTGCAGATACTTGATCCTGCCAGGCCCTCTAATCACAGCTGGTACCCGTTTTGGATCGCGCTTTACCCACAACTGTGCATTCACTGGTCCCACTTCGATCCTCATTTCTGCTGGTTTCCCCACTGTGCTGATCGTTAATTGTGATCGCTTGCATTGTAGACCGATATGGTGGCTTTTGACCCACCAGACTGATCCTGACTTTATCTGGCCACACAACAGTTCTATCGGCCAAATCAATTGAAGTCCAGCCGGAGCCATAAAATCCATGCCCAAGATCGCCTTATGACCGACCTAATCGACAGACCAAGCATCGAAATAATACACCAGCGATCCATCCAAAGTAATCTTGATCTTGGTACGCCCTTTCGTCACGTAAATATTCTCGCCAATCCCCACATACTCTTGTGCTTACTCTCATCAATGACACATCCTAATTTACAAGCGAAGGAGACGTCGACGATTGAGACTTCAGCTCCTAAGTCGAACGGCAGAGTGGTTTTCTCGTTGTTGATATTGCCCACTGCTTTAGCCTGCTTGAGCCACTTGCCTGGTGTGTGATATTTTCAATATCCTTGTGACTCACCCGGCGCCAAATCAAGCTCCATCATCGTGGGTGACCGTTTATATCCATTAACGCGTTTAATTACTGGACAGGGAACTCAAAATATTCGAATTTAAATCACATGTATTGACGATTGGGTCGATCTGACTCTAAATACCTTACTACATGTCCTCTCTCCACAAATGCATCAATGCAAGGCCTAGAACGCTCGACTCGTACCAGATTCAAACCTGGCGAGCTTCCTAGTTTAACATTTCTTCTGCCTTCGATAGCAACAATCTAACATGCTTGGTTGGTACGTACCACTTGCGGATCATGCTGTATAACTCCTCTATAGGACATATTCCTACTTTATTCCTTTCCGCACAAGCGTCGCAAACGGAGAAACACTATTTTGACGGGTGTCCTTGGCGACTACACTTCTGACTGGTCAATATCTTTCAACATTCACGATCACTGTGCTTGGCCGATCCATAGTGGGTACACAGTTTTGGCGATCCAGATGAATTGTGACAATTACTCTTGTTGGAACCATGTTTTACTGATTCATGATCTTTGGGGCTCTTTGCGCGATCCACTGAAGCAGCGACACAAAAGTTTCGTTGATCCGCATCAAAAAAAATCCGATCCATCAGTTTTTGATTCCGATCCACTGCTATTACATTCGACATGGATCGATCGCACTGCGCGAGCAGGTTTTGATGGCGTCACATTGGGTTGTATAGCAGATCGCTGACGAAACTTGCGTGACCCACAAATGATTTACCTTGTTGGAATTCGTACGATATTACGCACGTACTGTTCCTCTGTAGCATCTGCATCTTTCAATCGTAATAGCGTCAGCTGTTTTGCCATCCAAGTTTCGATGAAATGTTCCACGCCCACGACGATCATCGGGTATCCATCTTGTACTGAAACCTTTGCTCTCATTCACGCCACGTTTAATCGATACAGATACTCTAAATGAGTTTCATCTGATCTTTTCCATGCGTGATAATAGTTCCTTCTAGAAGATACACCATTCCAACCATACTGAGCCATGAAGCTTTCCAAAAGCGATTTTCAAGTGTTGCGCGTTGATCAACTGGGCATACCAGTTTTGCTCCGGTTCCGTAAGTATATCGCTGAATACAAACACTTTTCCACATCTGGTGCCTGATCGCGTAGGAATGCGGACTTAACCTTGCTGATCCAACTTCTGGATCGATCCTCGTCCTTGTCTCTTCCAGAAATCTTTTTCGAGGCTGCAATCTGACCAGTAAGCACAAGCTAATGGCAACGTTTACACTTGATTCAATCTGATCTACATCAACTCCAGCAAATGCTGACTCCTTATACAGAAGCAGAATGGCCTTTCCCAATGTGTTTTTCTCTGTGTGTGATTGTCACAAATAGTCAATTTATTGAGCGTCTGATTGCTGTCGGATTTTGAGACCCGAATACCCAAAGTAGTACGTCCTCCACTCAACACAGCCTCTGCAGCTGCTACTAAAGGTCATCGAAGATCATACAGTCCAAGATCGTCCGGATCATACTCGTGTGATAGACTACCACGTGATCCCACGAATTCCATCTCAATATCAGGAATACATGATCGGCGATCCGAGGAAATTCCTAATCGATCATTTGGAGCAATCGTCCCCAGTCTAGTATGTTGTTCGCAAACGAGCTTCTCCATAGCTGCATCAAAATACGATCGTAACTGAGTCGATACGATCGGATCCATACTTTCAAGCATATGCCCGATATTAGATCGTGGCCCGGCCTTTATCAAAACCTTGCGATCGCGCAATGATGCTGAGCCTGAAGGTCCGAGCGACATCCTTTCGATCTTGATCGACACTCCTCAATAGGCTTCAGACTTTTCCAAGCAAACCGTGACGATCCAGTGCGGTACTTATTTGGACTGTCTCGTTCCTATCTGTTCAGGTGATGTCGATTTCTTCATACCAGTCATAGGAACTAACTTCTCAAACAGCGATCCCGCTGCCTTGATCACCCGATTGTGGTCTCAATCGAGCAGTCTGTGGACTTTGAAAAATACAGTAGTAAAGTCAGCGTCCTGTAACAGCTTCATCAGCTGGCGGATCTCATTTTGTCATCGTTTTCATTGTCAGCACTGGACCTTTCAATGCTCCAATCAGCTTTACCTTCATGATCTTGAACACAAGATCATTTAGCAACGCGCATTCAATTCTTTCCAGCAGAACTTGTAGGCTATCTGTCCATCTGCCATCCTTTCGACTTGATACGATCACCTCATTCACAAGCTTGAACGGACGTGCATGATCCAGCAACTTCACATGATCATCTTGATCCAAAGACTTGATTGGATCACCATGACCGTATGACTTGAATGGGCCGATCCTGGTGATTGCAACGTTTTCTGCTGCGAATTCCTTGACTTCTTGATCTTGGATGTAATATTTGGAGGGTTTTTGTATGTAGGTCTTTCGGTTTTAATCGATCGGTCCCCACCTAGCGAGTCTCGCTTCCTATCGCGATCCGCGAAGGTCCTCAAAGGGACCTGGGGACAAAATAGAGTTTTTTCGTATCGATCCGATTAATCTTCCTCTTTAATTTATTCGTCATCAAAGTCTCTCCCAAAACCCTGGCAATCCGGTGATCCTTCCTTTTCATGCGTCCGTGGAGATCCCTCTTCCGCTGACGCTTCGATCCCAAGTTTCATCTTTATCGTTTGATCTTTGCTATGGGACACACAGTGATATTCTGAGTCACCAATGGATTCGGACACGCGCTTACTTGTGGTGAAGCGGTGATCCCAAAAAACGCTTTGTGATTCCGACCTTCCACGGGCGCTCGAACTGTCAACTGACGGGTGGGGTTTTCCGATACCGTATGCTAGTCCTTCCTCACCTTCTGTACCCGTCAACTGGGCGGGTTGCACTCTCCTAGAGGAATTAATCCGATCTTGATCCTGATGGGGTCTGGATCGGAGGGGGGGATCGCATGGAAATTCTTCACGCGATTGCAGTAAACACTGGTGCTTAACGCTGTCTCGATCTACCCTGGATATTTCCTTTCCCTTTATTTATTATCGTCTTGAGTCGTCTAGTCGATCTACTGACCACTTTAGCCGTCTCGTATAGGTCGCTTGCTTGAACGCTGCGTCCGAACGCAGTTGACTTGATTTGAGTATACTTGAATCCCTGGCCAAAATCTTCCAAGGGTAATCTGCTGTACGTATGTGAACCTCCCTCTTTTTAACGGGTGGGCAAGAAATAAACCCGGATGAAATAATAACACGTGTACGCTTGGATGTCACCTACAAGGTAGTCACTTATTAACATTTATAGCAATTACTAGCCCTTAGCTACAAACACTACCTATGGCTAACCTAGCAGAATTCAGTACTACCCTACGTCCAATAAACCCAAAAACTACCATCTTGCCTGCTTCTATGACAGGATCAACGCCACGCGTCACCTCAACAGCGATCGCGATCCGAGGTATATGGCCCACACCACACGATCCGATCCCTGACGACTCGATCGCGATCACGATTAGGGGTATATGGCCCACACCACACGATCCGATCCCTGAATACTCGATCGGCGATCACGATCAGGGGTATGTGTCCACACCACGCGATCCGATCCGCTGAAGGCTCGGTTTGCGGCCGCGATCCAAAGTATTTGGTTTACCCCACACGATCCGATCTGCTAACGACTTGGAACCTAATCGTGATCTGAGCTGTGTGGTCTACACCACGCGATCTGACCCGTTGAAGACTTGATTGGCGGGGCACGATCGCGATCCGTATTGTGTAGTCCACACCGTGCGATCGATTTATCGACAAATCACGTGTGGTTCAGACTTACCACAATCATTGGATTGCCTGATTACCCCGCAAATGGACCATTCAAATTATATTTACTTTATTCACAGAAGCATTGGCGAATCAAGTTGTAAACGGTTCCATCAGAACCCATCTCATGAATTTCTTCAGATCTTCGGCACACAAACAATCAACGATCCGATGGATGACCCTTTTTTCCACAGTGGTCACAGGTCAGTCTTTTCCAACAACCCAAGTCTCCATGCTTCTTGGACTCACAATGGGCACATCTTGCGTTTGGAGTCGCCGACATTGAGCGGGATCCGAGGTCCTTGGTCGAGGGTCGACCTCTCTGATGGGCCGGTCCTTCAAGGCTCTTGACCTGATGCCCTTCTCCGCCTCCATTGCCATGAGATAGACCTTTTTATAGGTCCCCTTCGCTGTCCAAACTGTACAATCTGGAGTCTTTGGATTTCGATTCCTTCTGGGTCGCTAGAGCTGCATGAACAGAGAGGCGATTTATCTCTCTTGGTCAATCGGGGGGGAATCTCTGCTCTGTGGCGAACTTTGCCGGACCCAAACAACATCTTGCGTCGTCTTTCCTTCGTCTAATGGCGCGCCTCAGAACATCCTCCAGTTCTTCCATCCTCCAGCTCTTCCACATCCATCAAAAGTAACACGGTCAAATGTTCCGCCAGTTCTTGGTCGTCCAAGGTCTCGATGTAGTGTTAAACATGTTCCTTTTGAATCTTGGGCGGCCCATCCTTGATCTTAATCTTCGATCGAAGTCCAACGACATTCAGACGATATAGGTAATTCAACGTGGATTCGTCCGACCTTTCTTTGCGTGGTAATATTGGCGGGCCATTGGTAACCCCAAACCACAGAACGACATCTGGAATTTCTGTAATAAGTCCTTCCAATTTCCTCGAACCGAGCGACCCAGTTGGAGGTACCAGTTCTGGGCAGGTCCAGTCAATATTCCTTCAAAAACGAGACGCTTTTCCCCATCTGGCGATTGGTACCTCGTGAATGCGGTCTTCACAGTGATCACCCAGCTGCGTGCTCGGTCCTCATCTTGGTCTTTTCCATGAAACTACTTGAGGTCCGAGATCTCTGAGAGCTTGATACGGGAGACCATGTTGGGCATCTGTCCCAGGATGGCATTGGCCATTCTCGCCAGAGGTCATCGAGGTCCATGTCATCTGGGTCGTATCACATGAACCGACCGATTCCATCTCCATGTCGGTCATTGCTTGTTCTCTTACAACTTGCATACCTGCACTTGGACCCAGCTGGGCCGTTGACCTCTGCGCCCTCTGTCGTCCTCTGTCCGCACTTCCATCGATGTGTGATTGCGGTACTTGACGCTCTTGTAGGAATTCTGTCATCGCCGTGTCGAAGTATGCCTGTAAATTACCTACCGGATTGTTTAGACTACATCCTCACTAAATGCACTGGGGTTGGTAGGTGCTCCTCCCCGGGCAGCGTCGCCACATGACGGAGCAAAATTCAATACTTGTCCTGGCTCATTTCTCTTTGGTAGAAATTCGAACCCATCAAAGCCCGAATTTTCATTGGCATACACGCGTTGCCATTTAGTGAGCTCGCTGCTCGTCTTCCGCATCTCTCGCTCGGGCCTGAAGCAGTGGCATGCCAGTAGGTCCCAATGGTGTCCTGCTCACATGACCAGCAGCAGACGACCCTCGTGCCGACTTCCCCGCAGGGACCTGGGGACCTTGAGGTAAGGTTTGTGGTAGACCTCGGATCGACCATGGGTCTTCGGTCGACCGTTGCTTGTGAGGATGGACCTCGGTATCTTAGAGGGTGATCTGGCTGTCCTTGGACGGTTCCTTCGCGATAGTCGCAGGAGGTAAATTGCGCGGTACCGGAGTGATTCCTACAAGTATCCCAAACCTTTTTGGATAATCTCTAACGCTGTCTTGATACTGTCGAACCCCAGACAATCTTCTGGCTCAAACCTCTCGCGACCGTGCCCGCCTTTCGAATGAGGGTAACTAGCGCGGTGATCCCGTCTATCACCGTCCGCAGCTTGGGAAGGGTCGACAAGGTGCAATGGGTTCACATCGTGGCAGAGAACCACGTGGCTATTTTACTTAGTTTAAGCATTATGCATACGTATGCTTACATATTAGATGGCTACAGAGCCAGATAAATAGTGACTAGCACTAAGTATAGAGTAGGTGCTTCTATATATAGTGCTAGAACATCAACATTCAAATAAATCAGTTTTAAACCTGCTCTGTATAGCATTGTAGCTAGATCATTAGTCCTTGAATAAAGGAAGTGTATCTTTGATACTGGTCTCTCAGAGACGTTGTTGGTGCAACCAAAAAGGCGCAAGCTTGTAAAGCTGGCCTTGAGAGGGTTGTTAATCCTGAGATGTAAAGCTCCGAAAGCGTGTCTTCCTCTGCACGAAGTGCATAAGTTGCTTTGATACGGTAGCTCTGCTACACAAAAGGATGTGCTTTAGACTCCCTTTGCTCCAGTGTTCAGTCATTATACGTTGTACATGCCCCCTGCACTGTGAGAAAGGCCGGTACGATCGATGTCAGATGGCGAATAGAGAAACGAATTGTCGCAAGGCGGACTTCGTTCGACGTGTGATGATGGCTAAATTCTATCTCATAGAAGTTATCTTCAGACGAGTTACAAACTTGTTGCCTAATTGATACCTAGCTCTGTGAATGTGCTCCTAACCATCAAATTCCTCCCTGTGTAAATCAATTGCTCCTATCTTAAAATTTCATGGATCGAGTGTGGTGGGGCACATTTTGCTGATGTTGAAACCTTTGGACGCTGTTGTAACTAACTTGTGACTCTCCTTGATAATAAACAATATGCTCTTTCACATCAATCAGTATCGGTTTTAATTGCTTTTAAGGACAGTCTTCTTTAAAATAGCGGTCTTCGATATCGTTGATGCCGTAATATACTGTGTCTCGAAACCCCGTTACAGTGCTATTTGGTACCGGATCCCATATTGTTCAGCTTTAGCACATAAACAAGGTTTACAATAAAGCAGCAAGCGCTAATATAGAGTTCTTTAAGCATCGTATTAAAGATTAGCACTTGCTCCGAAAGGGGCTTAACCTTCCTTGCTATCAAAACTCCTCTGTTCCTCTCCGTTCAGCATGTAGCGCATCTTTAGTTCAATAGACTTTCAAATGAGTTGATACTCAAGCCAATTCCAGCACATTGACGATTTCTCCTTCTTCCTTACTTGGTCGAGTCTGACCCTTGCTAAGGAAATTTTCCAACACACCTCACGAGAAACGTTGAGCAACAGATCGATACCAAGCTATACCATTAAAGGTTTGATCAAGTATACACTGTCCACCTTGGTCTCCATTCCAAAGCCACAAGCGTTCCTTGTTTCAAATCATCGCTCGTGTCATATGACCGTATCTCGCTTCAGTCAACACAGTCTTCGTCTTTAATATGTTTGTTCTTTGCATCGTATCGGCGGCACCTTAATAAAAGTCGTTACGAGTATCTTGCGACATCGGAATATTCTGCGACTTGAAATCGTGCTCGTACCCAAAACTATCTTGTGACATTCCAAACTTGTCACTTGATATTTGGCTGAAAGACTGTGTCTGTGCCACCTGCGTAAATGGTCCTTCCATTCCAATTGAAGATTGAGTCATGCCGTCCTGGGATAATGGACCCATACTTCCAGCAGCATACACGTGTGGCCCACGACGTGGACCTCCACGCTGCTGTGATGTAGGCGGTGACACCACACCGGTCCCAAGCAAGTCCGACGGAGACACTCCTGAATGGTCATAGCGTGGATCAAAGCGCGAATCCAGAGAAGGCACGGGGTCACGTTGACGACCCGATCCGACACCATTACGAGGAACACCACGGCCCTGGTGTCGCGGTGGAGGGAACTGCATGTGCGAAGGCGTTAAATTGTTCAGTGGCCCTTCAACAATGAGTTGATTATCACGGTAGTGATTCAGCAACATGTTCCAAAGCGATTGCTTTGCCAACACCCGTGGGTTGCCCAGAACAATGACACCATACTTCGCACGCGTTAGAGCCACATTCAGACGGCGCTTGTCACTTAAGAAACCAATACCCTGATTCTCGTTTGAGCGTACGCAGGAAAGAATGATCAAATCTTTTTCTCGGCCTTGAAACGAGTCCACGCTCGCCACTTCCACATCCTTATAGAGCTGAGAGCGCATAGATCCATTGCGCTGCATGTAACTAACCACGTAAGCCCGCTGGCCCTCATACGGTGTAACAACACCGATCTGCGACGGCATCACCCCGGCCTTCAGGAATATCGTAACAATCTTCTCCACATTACTTGCCTCCGTGCGATTCAAGTAACTCGTACCAGACGAACTAATTTCTTCTGCGCCCAGGCAAATGTAAAAAAATGTCGGCTTGTTCGGATTCGGCCACGGAAAGTCAACACTGGAAAGCTGACGTTCACTTGCAGACACACCGTTCTGTAGCTCACCTTCGTAAAATTGGTTAGAGGGGAACTCGGACAAAAACGGGTGCATACGATACTGCACACGCAAGCGAAATGGACGATGGTTGAGCAGCAGGAGACGGTCAAAAAGCGATTGGTTTAGCCCTGCATTCGCAGCCTTTTTGTTCATGACGACAGGTCCTAACTGACGGTGATCACCTACCATCACCACATGCTTAGCACCTTGAACAATCGGAATCAGACACTCAGGTTCCGTAGCCTGGGTAGCCTCGTCAATTAGTACTTGGCGGAAACGAAAGTTAGACAGTCGAGGATCACCCGCACCAACACATGTCGTACAAATAACATCTGCAGCTTGCAGGATTTCGCGCTCTGCCTGGCGTTTCAAGGACTTAAAACGTTTTTCGTCCTGCGACGACAATTCACCCTGGTCATCCTTCAATTGCATAAGTTTGCGCAAATCAGCCTTGTCAGGTGAGTCCAGCGACTTGATCATTGCATGCAGAGACAGGTGCTCGACCGAAGAGGCGACGGCCTCGCGGCTTTTAGCCGCAAGACGAACCACGCGAAGTCCCGTCGCACTAATCTTCATCGTCAGATGGTCCACAGCGATGTTGCTAGGCGCTGTCACCAGCACCTGGCCCATGTTCTGCTTCGACATGTGAAAGACGATGGAAGCCGACGTTACGGTCTTGCCCGTGCCAGGAGGGCCTTGGATTAAGCTCAGAGGCTGCTCCAGGACACCCTTCACTGCTTCCATTTGTGGCGGATTCAGCTCAGGTAGTCCAGGGGCCGAAAAATGCGTGCCTACAGAGCGCGGAATGCGAAGAGGCTGCACGTCAACGGCATGACCTAATATCTTGTGATACAAGTACCCTGTCAGTGACGTGTCGTCCACTGCAAAGGTCTTCATGGCGGCCTGCATGCGGTCAAATGATGTCGATTTCCAGACAAAGTCTACCAGGTACCCGTCTGCAATTTCCAGTGGCACATTGTTGCTACGCATCTCAAGTGCGACTTCGGACTCCTCTAATCGGAGGACATGACCCGTACCTTCCCAGTCTTTTCCATACAACATGCTTGCAGTCGGTCCCAAACGTAGGCGAATTTCATCACCCGGAACTAGTCTCAAATCCGAGTCGGGTCTTGAACACGTAAAAATAGCATTGCGCTTCTTATTGAGACCAGTATCCCAACGAACCATAACTCCTTCCTGGGTTTGAGATTCCTTCATTTTCTTATCATAGTCAGATTCCATCTTGATCAAGGGTCCAAAAATATTCTGATACTGATATCCATCATCATAGGTCGGTGAGACTTTCACAGGTTCATCATCAATACCAGGTCGGTCTAAATCTTCAACCGTAGCTAATGGATTCTCGCGCCACAATTCTTCCAATTTTGCAATTTGATTGGATGTAATTTGTCGTGCACGTAATTGTTCATGTTCCGATGGTACTTTCACAAGCCACGGTAAGAAACTTCGATCATCAATAATGGGTAACCATTGTGACATATCCCAGCTCATATCCTTTAATGCATTCATTTGTAAACATGGATCACGACATAATAAGACTACAACGGAATCTTGTTTTGCTGGTATAAAACCCAATAGAAACGCATTCCGACAACCACAATTATAACACTCGAGAACTGTTTCACCTAATGGTGATTCTGGATGTAATGACACTTCCTTATTCTTACTTCGTACAAGATGTTGGATAATATGTGATCCACTTGTATTACCACGTGAATTACAAAACCATTTGTCTGAAGTAACACATTTTACAACAGATGCTGGATCATGTAAACCACAATATGCACAAGCATGAAGTGGTAATTCTCTTGTTGTATAGTAATCCAAAAACATTTCTTCCTCTATAACGTCATCAAATGTCAAGTGCGACATGTCACGTAATAAATTTGTCTCATCTACTTGAATCATTGAGCCTTTCGTCTGATTCGGATTAAAAGGCTCGGGAGGTTTGGAGGTCATACTTGATTGGTCAAAATAACATGATCCACTTGTCTCGTATTGGTCATAAAACGACGACGTTTCACCAGTAGTTTTATCCAATGGATCAATGAATGTATATTGGGATTGCTGGGTTAGAGGAAAACTCTCGGACGATATGGTAGCATGAGTATGAGTAGCTAGTACTGTTAGTACTTGTTGTTGTTGGACTCATACTTGGTTGTGTCTGTAGAAAGATATCCTCATCATTGTATGCATTCTTAAAGTTAAAGGAACCACTCATGGTCTCAATATTATCCTTTGGCTTTCTAAACTCACTGGATTAAATCGGGATAAAACCAAATTTTGTCCTCTCGCAAGACAAAATAAGGATAATAATATCCTGTTTTTGTATTTTATCCGGACTGTGTCTTCATACATGGACAAGGTTATTCATTCGTCGAAATAAACCAACGGACTGCTGTCTCCTTTTCCTATTTCATGTACGCATTTGATTGCTTCGTTTTAAACTAACCGGTGCAAATTTCAAACCACCATCTGTTATCACGTCTGACATTTTCCATACGTTGTTATCAGCCAGGCGACATGTAATCTTTACGGAAATGTCTGGTCCAATGCACATAAGTAAGCAAATTAAATTAATGGCATAGCTTAAAAAGGTCCTTTTTTTCAGTATATTACTATCGTAGGGTATAAGTGTGGATAATATCATACTCAACTGTAACCTTATAATCACTACATTGTCTTCAAAATGTTATTGTCGTGCTCAATTGTATTGACATGCTGACTGACGTCAACACGATCAATCGTGCCGGCGTCAAGACGATATGCATGATGTTCGCCACATGATTTATGATAGTTCTGTTAAGCTTACACACTACTGAAAACGGCATGTTACAGCAAAGGTTATTCGTTATGAAAGATTTTTGTCGCCCCAGTGCAATAACCCGAACGTCAGCTTATCCGTCTTTAATTGTCAATAACCTTTGCCGACCGCAAGTCGTATTCTTAGCATAACAATGGGGCAGCCCACTAAAGTTTCTCTACATCACAGTGCCATGCTCTCTAGCTCATCACTTCACTGGGACGGCAAGTGCCGTAATTGCCGAAAACTCATGTCAAGCTGTATTTGCTTCCAAGAGTCTGACAGTGACGCAGATCCTCTTCACACCAGTACCTCGTACGTTTCTAGTTCATTTCTGCGTCTGCTTCACTTTGTCACGTAAATGACCATGGAATACTCATTATAAACTTGCCTGTTTTCTTCTCTCTCTCCTCATGAAGCAGGAATGTCAGAGCTGACGCCTCTGAGACTCGACCACTCTGGAATGCTCTTCGCAAGATGCATCGCAACTCGACAACGACGCAGTTAGTAGTTGTGCAACCACCTACAAGCTTACATCAGTCTTCGGTTTCCAGTCAAAATGACCGTTCTTGTAGACGCAGTGAAGCTCTTCCACCTCTGAGAGCTCAAGCTTCCGTCACTCACTCGACGTCCAATCCTCGACATCATGTTTATCGACGCTCGGATGCACAATCTCCTCAGAATTGTAGACGTGATACTAGAGAATCAAGACAAGAATCGTCGTTTGGACTCTCTTCACTCCATTACAAAGACGGAATACAGCGTGGCAGTATCATTAACAACAGCTACAAGCTCAAGAGAGATGTCAAAGACGTTGGTGTCATGCGCTCGATGCAATCACGATATAAAATTGAAAAGCACAAAGCTGTTAGCATGAGTCACTCTAAGGAAAAGTTTAGTTATGGACCGGAAGAAGGTTGTACACTAAGTGACGAAAACGATGGGACTGTATGGGAGCTCTAAGTATTGACAACTTATTTTGAACAGGATAATCATTTAGAGTTCAAGCCAGACGTACACGAATTAATACTTTTGTACTTTACTACAATTTAATGTCTTATATAGTATTCGGAAGAAATAGTACTTTCTTGTGGAAAAGAAATAGGAACATGAATACCCTCTTTTGCTTTTACGCTCTTTTTTTAGTCACATAATACCTGTATTTCGGTGTCATCAAATACCTGTATACCGGTACCTCATTTTTTCTGGTCGGTCATAAAGCTGTCTCGGTCGCATTATTGACAGTTTAGTTAGCATTTCAATCATTTCAGTCGCTTCAACGTTTACTTATTTATTCCCATCCTTTAGTATGTTTCGTTCATAAGCTGCAACACCACACTGAGTTCTTCACCTGTAAATTCAGGTGTTGCAACAGTAAAACCGTTATACTTGACATCGTCATTGCGTTGCGGCGGTGGACGAAGTACGTGATGGCTCGAAAACGGTAGCGTTTGATGCTGTTGACTTGAGTACTGCTCGTAACTGCTATCATCGCGTCTTTCTTGACGTCGAAATGGTGCAAAATGATTACTAGTCGTAAAGGTGGCGCGATTGACACCACTGTCGGAACAGTTTAACAGTGAACTCCCTGAGTTCGCGTATTGAACAGGTGGAAACGCCGTGATACTTGGTCTCATTCGACGTTTGTCTGGTCCGTGATCCTTGGATAAAATACCAGTCGGAAGGCAACTACTGAGGTCAGTAGAACCAAGAAAAACTGATGGCCCCATTGTGCGTTTATTGCGGACTGGCAATACACTGCTCTTGGACTTGTCAAAGCTACTAGGGTAGAGAAAATTGCTAGCAGCAACGTGGTCGTTACCGTACGAAAGACAATCCATCGAGTAATTGCGGGTCGTGTCAACTGTGGAAAAGTACTCTGTATCCTTTTCAGTCGATCCTTCAATTGTTGGAATTCCATGACCATGTTCATGTTCATCTTGTCGCGTATCCAATTGTTCCTGTTGCTGTGCACCAACAAGAATATGATGATATAATTTCTGATGCTGAGCAAACTCTTTGTAGTTATCACAGCTCCAATTGCAATTAATTCGACCAATACAGCGAAACACATTCTTTCCATCCGGAAAATGAAGACGCATATGTCTTTTAAGCTTTGTGCTTGTGTTGAAACGTTTGCCACAACTGTTAAAAAGACACGGATAAGGTCGTTCTCCACTATGAATTCGTTTATGACGACTTAAATTCCCTGACGTATTAAAACGTTGCATACAGCCTGCATAATCACATTCATAAGGTTTTGTACCCGTGTGAATACGCATATGACGTCGTAGTGCAAAAGACCTTGGAAATTGTTTACCACAATGAACTTCCGTACATATAAACATTTGTGGTTTACAATTGGAGGTTTTCTTTAGTGGTTTCATTTCATCCTGTGATACAGGTCGTGGTAGTAAATCATTGGATGTTTCCATTTCCCAACCAAGTAATTGAATGTTTTGATACGTTGTTAATGCTGGTAAGACGATACTTGATGGACTTATGATCCCATGCTTATCAGAATGCATGACAAAAAGTTGCGAAATGAAGACACGGGATAAGGTTACACGACCTATAAACCAGCAGGTAAACATGTTATGGTCATTACGCCCTGTCGCCCTTGAAAGTGCATACACGGGGCAGTCCAGCTGAGCACATCTCCCTTATGTTTCTAGCAGGGGATAAAAAAAGGAAGCTCTCACGACAAAATGAAGCAGCAAAGAGGTGGCTACATCAACTAATAATAATACGGACTACGGCTTACAGTTAGAAGACGTATCCTATCTTTTCCACACTTTGTCTAATGTACATTAGCTACTACGCTAGTAGAAGTAGGAAAATTGTTGTGATGAGCCAGTCGGACGTATGAAGGCATGACCTTCTAAGTTAATGAGCACACCGAGTTTTCCATCGTATCATTCGTGTATGAACGTAAGATCACAGGTGGCATTATTTTTAACCAAGATGATCAGCTTATAATGCTCTGCTGTGTCCGTGCATGTTGAAGCATTGTTGCAAATCCGAAATTTTGTGACAATGATATGGTCACCTAGGTGCACTTTGAAAAGTTTCTTTCCACATCAGAAATGACACTTTATAAAGATGAATGATGTCGGGCAAGAGAGGATGCTAGGAGATTTGCAGTGGAGCTAGATTTTTCAAATATCTATATGAACTGCTTCTAGCCTCGAGGCAGCATATGCCTCTGCCATTGTCACAAACAACGTGTCACGCATGCCATGCAAGTAGTGCCGCTATCTTCTGACGTCTTGTGCATATATATAAGTGTCTGAGCTCTGTTCACGACTGGATCCGATAGGAAACTAGAGAAAACTAGTTGTACTGCGAACGTCTGCACGACGACCCAAAACCTCTGACACTAAGGAAACAAATCGCCGCTACTCAGCAAATTTGTTGTCACGCAAACAATCCTTTTCATGTTGAACACATGGAAAAATGAAGCCATGTCGTTTGTTGTTTTTCTCCACCACACGCAAACTGTCAGCTCATTGTCGTTGAAGTGGTGTCTTGCCCATTTTGACACAAACAATAGACGCCATTTCATTTGCTAGTACGATACAGCATAGAGTCGCAGCATGGACTTATAATGAATATTAGTTAAGCTTAGTGATTGTATCAAACTATTGCATAGCTGTAGCCATGTGATCCGTCGGTGTTTTGAAGCTATTGGCTAATCAAAATATAGACAATAAAGCTGTGTGGACTGTCCAGCAGTAACATCTGGTCGTGATGTGCTTCAAGTGACATTTTCCATCTCTCTTTTCGTGAGACACCAGTACGTTTCGTCTGCTGAGACAGTAGCGTCACCATCTGCATTGAAATAGAAAAGGACTTGCGAACAATAGTGAATCACTTCAATACCAGGATCAAGCGGCATCATTTTTATTGCAATCATTTCAATACAACTGCCATCACTTTGCCATGTTTTAATGTTAAACAGCGCTATTAGTGTCTTTAAATAATGGCAGGACTTGTGCGTGTCAAGAGATCGTTATTGCAACAGTGAGTAGATAGATACAAGAGAGAGAATGATGTACGTCATTAAAGATGTGTCAAAGCTCTTTGACACAAGGTCGTAGTGAATTTTCTAGACAATGTTGAGGTTGTTGGGTTGCTGAATCAGGCCGATTCAAAGAGCTGTCATGAAACCGATAGTCCCACCCTGATAGATCAGTCTTAGGTAACAACGAATAGTGTTAGGTGATTCAAAGGTGAGTTTCTAGCATATTTGACAGCCCAAGAGACTTTGGTCCATCTTAGAATCCATAGACCATCAAGGGTGTGCATGTTTCAACAGTACAAGATTGTATCTAGCAATAGTTTCTATCACTAGTCGAATAACGTAATCTAAATGTACATTGCAGATTCCAGCTCAGGTATTAACCATGTGAAGCACAGTGCTGATACCACTACACCCTCGGGGATCGGCACGCCAGCAGTGACGTCGTGTCTAACGCCGATACGCAGGACAACAGTAGTGACTTGAACGATGCCTCCGCACGATGGTTGTCGTCACAATCTCGCATACGGTCAGCTTACAGCGTCAGACGGACGGCGCTTGCAAAAGGACTGTGTCGAGAAAGTGCGTAATCATCCTGCACGACAGCTTGCCCACGTTTCATCGCACCAGCTGCAGGTTCACTTTGCTGCTGGTTATCGCTGTCAACGTGTCAACCAAAAATCCAATACCAGAGCTTACCTAACGAATAAGTTCACAAAAAATGCACCTCAACCTAAGTCATTTCTACCGCAGATCAGCTAGCTTCCTTGCTTCTAGATAAAATTCGACCGTTTCGAGAACTAACGCGCCTGAAATCTCCTTAAATGATGGTGAACCACCATTTGATAATCTGAAGGGTCGGCACACTCGTCAACATAAATTTCTGTAAAACGATTGCGGAGTGAAGGAGACAAATCCTTTTTACCGACGTCTGTTGACGGGTTCACAGCACCAAAAAGACGAAAATTAAGGATGTGGACGAATTACTTCCACATCTCCTCGCTCTGTGAGAGAAAACGCGCTTGTTTCGTGTTCTAATAGCGTACTTATTCGCTCCAGTATGTCAGAAAAATGCAAGATTAATTTCATCAAGCAGCACCCAATGACCCTCTCGCAATGCTTTCACTAGAACACCCTCCACAAATAGAAAGGCAGCAGAAATTCACAGCTTGCTCTATCTGCCGCTCAAATCGCATCAATTCCACCTCGAAGGTATCCCATTGGCTTACCAACATTCTCGTCGACGCACCAGTTGAACAAATTTTCTTTCTACCAGTACTTTCCAATGCATCTTGGCCCCCTTCGCCTAGGCTGGTTTTGATTTTAGAAGCAGCCATCTGAATAACTTTCTTCATGCCCTTTACAAGTTTCTTCCAGTCCTTCTGTTCTAACGCAGTTCGCACCAAGTCCAGAAATTGAGCGTTACTTTTTTGCAAAAACGTACCTGTGAATAAATCTACAAATGTCATGTACAATGGACGGGCGAGCAGGTGAATTTCCACTGGTTTGTATCCTCCCACAAGATCGGAACTATCACTCTGAATATTAAAGTTTTGTACCACCAGATGCTGTCCCATTGTTGCGGCCATGTGCTGAACTATCGTTGTTTTACCGCAACCAGTCTCACCGATAAGCAGTGCTGGCTCACAAGTCGCTACAATGAATGCCATCTTCTCCAATAGACGTAGCAGTCATTACCACAGAGCTAGTAGCTGGCTTGTCACCTTGCTCAAGCTGCGCTTGCTGTGATAGTGTCGGCAAGTGTACACGACCAAACACCACTTCGTGTTTGCTAAATGCAACATGAGGCTTGTGCTGCTCCAGATAATATTTAATCTTGTCGGGCCGCACTTTCCATATGGCTGCTAGCGCGCAAGCGGAAAGCAAGCGCGTCTTTGATTCCCTAATGCCTGCACAGAACACGTCAAGTGCTTCCACTACAACGCGCATACGCTCATCCTCGCTTATGTATTCCAAGTTGGAGGGCAAGCTATCGATAGCAGCTCTTGTAGCACAATAGCAGAAGCGATAAATTCGTTTGCACCACTTCAATAAATCACGCAAGCAAAAAGCACGCCCGTAATTGCGTCGTGTCTCCTTCCACAGCTGTGCAGGACCACTGATCTCTTCGCTTGTGTTGCCACACACCGCGTTGTACGTGGTCATGATGCTTGACACAACCTGTCGCGGTATCTTCGCAAAACGAGTTAGTAAAATTTGCTCAATCTCACTATCTACAAGTGGGGCAAGACCAACATTTGCCCAAAGAGACTCCTGAAATCCCTTAGGCATTTGTGCTTGTACGTTGTCGTCCCGAAAATCTGGAAATTCGCGTGTGCAACTAGTAACTCACCGCGACCAGGTAGCACCATTTCGCGCATTTCAAGTAGCGGCATAAGCATTGCAAGCACCTCGAATGGAGCCCGGTCAATATCTTCAATAAGCACCCATCGTCTTGCAAGGACGGCAGTTGTAAGCGCACCAGGTTGCCGCGTAAATTCGCCAGGGACGTCTGTGCACACATACGATCCAAGTAGCGTCTTGCTATCAATCTGGTCGTCCACATGCAGCTCGATCATGTCATCGTTGCAAGAAAGTCGAGCAGGTTCACGAATCGTAGCTGTCTTGCCACATCCGTCCGGGCCTGTCACTAGAATCGGCTTTTTCAAACCAAGTGCAATGGAGAGTGATCGTAAATTCCGTTTGGTCGAAGGCGTGGGCACCAACACTTTGGTGGCTACTGAAGTATCTGTCAGTCCAAACCGTTGCTCGTGAAGGTTGCTCGTCAGAACGACAACGTCAATAGTATTCACTAGCGACTTATGAAAGGGCAACGCTTGTGACTCTACGCCATCCCTTTCATCCTGCTGCTGATATAAACTCACTTCAATCATTTCTTCTTGTCGTGTCAAGTCCTTGCAGTGCTGCTCTAGTTCAATCTGTCGCACCGCGGAGCTGGTGGCACTCAACGCAGCTTCCTCACCAACACTCAATCTACAAAGAAAATTGTTTCCTCTGTGCGTTACTCATCTTCAAAACCGATGCAGTAGCACGTGCTGCATACCAGCGGACGCACGTATCGTCGTGGAAACTGAGCGGAAAAAACGACGTCCAATTCCACATTGACATGAGCTCCATAGGTTTTACTCGGAGAAGCTGAAAGGCCGTCTGAGCAATGCGTCGTAGTCTCGGCAGCGTCTCGGCATTTTGCTGCTTCTGAGCGGCTACAATGTCCGCAAACGTAAAGAAGCACAACGCTGTTTCAAAGTATTGTTCAGCTAATGTGCTTGTAGCCGGTAGATACACTAATAGCTCGGCTAATGGTTGCATCAAGAAGCTCACTTCTCTTCATGCTATCGGAACACTCAATGTCCTTCCATTTCTCCTCCACTTGCTCGAACAGCACGAGCACTGGGTCTATAAGACGCATTATCAGATCCAGCATGAAAGGCCGCAGACACTTTACAATGACAATACAAAACTTAGCGTGAACAAGGCACGATGCCAGTGCCTGCAACTGTGTGTGGATGTCATGCTCTTTATCTGTAGGTTCAACCATCACTAATACTTGACCAGCTGGGTGAGTCTTGAGCGCATCGATATCAATAGCAGCCAGAAGACTCTTAAGACCTGAATACAGGCGGATGACGCTCATCACGTTGTTGTCGCTATTCTTAGAGTGACCAATAGCGTCTTCAGCTTCGTGTCCAGTCGCCATATCCGAGCTCTCTCAGTGCGGACTTGATGCAGAATGAAGGTCGTCAACTTACAAACGTTGTAGTAAGTGTGCCACACCAAATTAAAGACCTGAGGTTAAAGAAAACATTAGCATGTAAGTTGCTAGTAATTGACATGTTTTGGAATGGGGAGATCATTAGGTACGAATGCTTCGTCTTAACAATTGATGTCTCGTGGGTCATCAATAAGCAACAGTTTAGTACGTTCCCTTACAGCTATACATGTATGTACAAGAACTTTTTGCGTTGAAAACTGTCACTTTTGAGATGGAAATAAAGCATCTCACAGACAACTCACAGATGCGGTTGTGTTACAATAGATAGATAACTAGCATCCAAAAAAACGGATGCTATGGATATCTATCTCTGTCTAGTCACGTTTTCTCTAACACTCATGTATACTATCGTTACTTTCTTTGCTGCCTATATACTCTACAATCCTCAACGTGAAATTGAGTGTCTACGCCCAGATTATTTCAATGGCAGATGATCATCTACTAGTGTATACGTTTAAACATCTTCAACATGCTTGTCAGCTTCGATAGAAAGTAATAGATAGTAGTCATATGTATGACAATCATTTGACACCTGTCAAAAGCGTAGATGCAATGCAGTCCACGAAAAATAAGACACTTACGTCTGGACATTACAAATTACTACAATAACAGCTTTACTATATGAGTATGTCAAGCAATACAAGTACCTAATAAATCACTTTTATGCTAAGGAAATGGTGACATAAAGCACTGGCACAAAAGGCATATGGTATTTGTTACTGACGCAAGAGACTGTATCGTTTCAACGCCATCTGATAATTACGACTCATCATCGGAGCGCCTACTAGTCACAAATTTTATATCTCGTATCCTAATTCTAGCCAAATTCTGATCCCTCGCGTTCTTTAAATGTAATTATTGTGATTGCATCGAATAGTTGGTTCAAAAAGGACAATAGGTGACACTATAATTGTATCGATATAATGCATGAATCTTACACTATCTTCATATGAATAATGTTTTGTTAGTAAGGGTTTTTGCGCGGTGAAAAAACGGCTTTTCTAATAATAGCTAGTATCACTTCATCACACTCTTGACTCAAGTAGCTTTCAATACCAAATCTCGGTCGTGCGCTGATATCACAGCCATACGTGACTTGAGTTCGGACGTTATGTTTGATTCATGTAAAAAGATTAGTACTATGAGATTAAGTATGATGTAAATAATTACTCAGCGCTAAAATATGACAAAAAGAACGCTGTGATGATGAAATATTACATTATGCCGATGGAATATTGCATTGTCCATAAAATTCATTAGCGATTGCTTCATACGGTCAGCAATTACATTAAATTATCAAGACTTCACAACTACCTAATTTGTCTCTCTCTCTCTCCACTATATGAGGAATTTATCTGTTATGGAGCTGAACTGATTTGAAAGAAACAACTTGTACGGTATCGTTCAAGATCGTCTGCTGCCAATACACGGAGGAAATAATTTGAACCCGATTCCATCCCCCACGGGACCTTATGATATGTGAAAAAGCCTGTATTTGGTGCCTCCGCAGCAATAAGTGTCGTAGCACTCAATCCATCTTCCAATAATTCAATCCGTAGTTTTGACACCTTTGTGTCCAGTACTTTCCACTCCACATCCACAGGTTTACCTCGTGTCCAAACTGTGTCCATATTGGGCGAGATAAATGCAATCATCGAAGCCCCTTCTTCGTGGCAATCATCAATGGATTTTGTCGAGTCGGAACTCTTACCATACACTCGCAAGTGTTGCAAATGATGATGCGTCTTGAAAGAATGTGGAAATGGCTGCTGCTGCTGCTGTTGTTGTTGTTGCAGTGACAACGGTGGAAACGTGCTACCGAATGGCACTGATTGCATTGTCATGTCGTAACTGCGTCGTCTCATATTGGCACGACTATCAGCTGACATGGTACTAAACGTATGTCTTCGATGGTCCAGTGCTTCTTGTTGTCGCGTCAAAATAGCAATAGAACCCGTTGATTTCCAACGCATTGTCTCTTTTACGTCTTCTAGTGCAATGTGTGCCTGATTTCCTTCAACCTCTTGCTGCTCTTGCTCTTGATCCTGTTGCTGCTCTCGATCTTCTTCTTCTTCTTGTTCCTGTTCAGGTACGAGTTCTTTCAGTATCGGCGCTTTAGCAGCAACCATAGAAGAAGACGGTGATGGCGGTTGAGACTGTGCTCGTTTTGTTTCAATGTGACACTTGAGTTTCGCGTCTGCTGCAAGTGGTGATGGCTCGCTGCTACTATTTGTCGGACTGATATTATCACAAGAATTTACAGGAATATCCATACTGAGAAGACGTTGACAGACAGCTGTGACGATAGAATTGGTCGGAGGAGATAAATAACTCGGCTGGTGCTGTGTATCCAATTTGTGCATAGACCGAATGTCTCCTACAGCTACAAAAGAAGGTGGGAGGGATGATGATGATGATGATGAAGTCTGGAACGGCCGCAAGAGGCTATGCACAAGCAGCAATCCAAGCCGAGCAAGGCGCGCACCCCAACGCTCTCCTAGCTCCTCCTCTCTGCTACGCGGAACAATGATCGTGGCCTGCGTAACAGGCTTTTCCTTCTCTACCACGTCCACTTGTGGGCGAGAAGAAAAAGCTGTGGAAAAACTAAAACCTCTAGACAAGAGGCAGAGAGAGAGAGAAAGAGACTTTGGTGCACAATCGAAAATGTTCAGTCGTCTGTCGGTTGGTCGGTCGGACCAAGTAAAAGGCGACGACGACGACTGACTGGCTAAATGAAAAATGAAGTGTAGCTTGTTTGTTTGTTTGCTTGTGTGCGTCTACGCCACAGTAAATGCAATAAGAACAGTCAGTGTCTACAGGGAGCAAAGCGGTCCAGGCGCTTGGACAGATGAATCCGGCTATGGTCGTGCGTTGATATCAACGAATAAGCGTTCGCCGAGGTGGCCAGCGGGCAGCACGCGACCGTCGCTTCTGCAGCAGCCCGTGGCACGCCATCCGGACTATAAATCGACTTTTGTGTCTGCCTCACAAAGACTGGACTGCTTTACTGGCGCATACTATGGCGCTTCCAATCGAACGTTAGCGTTTCTGTAGCGACACCTGATCTGTCCGACTCTCGTTTTTTAGTCCAAAAATCTCCGCCTTAGATGGGAGGATATTGTGACTCGGGCTCCGTAAACCACGGACTAAAAATGGAAAATCAGAACTTTTTGCATTAAGTTACATAGACAATGAATCAAACCATTTTTGTATCTGGTAGAAAAATGTGGCAGAACAAAAACTAATAACGACACACGATCTGTCCTGCTCAACAATATTCTAAATTGCCGATTTAGCTATCCAAAAAGACTCAAAAGCAGTCCTTTGGTCACATATTTTATTACAACTACTTGCATCATTTGGTAGTAGTAGTAGTAAGCAGCAGCTGTTGACGGTTGAAGCGTCACAGCAGCACACGTCCATTGGCGCCGAAATCCTTATTGTTCTCTTTTCATTGCAACAGAAAATCTATTTTCGTGAGGGTTTAGACGCGAGATGCGTTTTGATCTGAGCAGAAACTGTCTGCCGTCCACCGTCGCGACTCAACGGAAAGCTCTAGCAATGACGATAGCGTCCACGCTACAAGTCAGTGCTTTAACCCAACGTTGTGCACACAATTCATGAAATCCAGTACAAAAAGACTGTTGTCGCAATGCCGTGTCGTCATCATTGCTACTTTTTCACGTGGAAAACAGACCGATCGAGCCAGTAGCTTGTGGCGATTAATCTTGAACTACACTGTCAATAATGAATTGCTGTTCGAGTTTATCTGCAAGTCTGCTTGACGTACGTAGATACAGACAGATCGATAGATAGATCGATAAATGAGGAATATTAAACATTGCCTGAACTTGTAAAGCAGAGCACATTTTAAGATCCTTCCCGTGTCTTGAAAGACAGAAAGCTTCAGATCGTAGGTTGTTAAATTAACAGCTTATTGTTCCCATTCTCTCTTCTTCTTCTTCTTCTTCTGTTGCTGCTGCTGTTCGTTTTGTACGAAGTAAACGATCTTTACCTCGCTCGCAGCCGACGAATTCAATAACGAGTATCATAGGCTACCGATGCAGAATATCCACCGATGTGACCAAAGACGTCTCTGCCAGCACCAAGTTGAAGTGCAGCTAGCAAGTGCCTTTTGGCTAATCGTGCGCTGATCCGACTTGTGTGCCACGTCAGGAGAATAAGAAACAGCCAGATCATGTTGAAGTGAGCGTTTATCTAACGGCCACTTTGACCGCAATTTGAACCGAAAGTCGCTGATTGCAGGCGCAATGTTGTTTATGTCATTTCCAAGGGGGTATATAGGACTGGTATTGTCACTGGGTCACGAACTACCAATAGCATATTGCATGTGACACGAGTCCAACGGTAGTAGTTGCCATTTTCTACAACATTCATGATCATTCTTTCAACTCCTTTTGCCTTGTCTGCTATCGACTGTCTTTGTTACAACAGTCACATGTAGTTAGTTGATGAATGGGAAGTATGTCATAGCGACAATATGCTGTCGCAGAGAGAAGAATAAAAGACGCAAGGGCTGGATTGTCACCTACGTCAGCCACTTTTTCGGCGCGCGGTGATCTCCGTTTGAGCTCAATGTTGTCGTTGTCGACCGACAAGCAGCGGACACGAGGTTTTGTCACACTGCAATTGCTGCCTATATGTGACACGCTCTTCATTGGTTGTGGATATGTATGAATTGAAGGCGTCTCCTCTTTAAGACAAAGTCACGGTCACTGGATTTGATAGACACGACATACGCTCGAAGCGGAGATCTTGTCATCAAGTAGTGCATAGCTGCTAGTCGAAGGTTTTTGATTTTGAAAGAGTGTGCATTGTATTGCATCTACTTTGGTCTCAAAGAGATCGGGCTTCCTGCACTATCCACAGTAAACATTGTAGCTGTCGAGCGACACTGTTTGTAAATCCTCCAATACGGTGCTAGCTGGACCATTCTACCTATACGCTGCATGCAGCGCATCATACATACGACAGCTATATGCAAGCCGTTCGCACGCAACGTTCAGCTTGTGTTATGGATAGAACAATACATGACCTGCTACGAACACTGTCCAGTGTTCAGTGTGCACTCAGTCAGCAGCAAGTACAGGAAGGTGGTGACGATTTGTATCTCTGCCAGCTCAAACATTGGTACGGTCGTCATCTGCTACTTTTGAGCAAGAAGCCATGACTCTTTTTCTTTCACTATACAAGCATCTCCATGCTGACGAGGCTAAGTAAATGGCAAGCACGGATACAACCAGTTTGGTAGCTAGCTAGCTAGCTAGCTTGAAGAAAAAGATCGAATTGCCTGGCTCTTGTCTTGACAGGATTTCATTGAAGAGCACGCCAGCATGAGCTTGGATATGGAAATGTCTCGCTCATATCGATTAGCCATGGAAATGAGCGACCTTTTTTACAAAGCACATTCGATCAAGCTGACGACAGCAACCTTGTGTGGACTCATGATCCAGTACTATCCGAACCGACAGGAGGTCAAAGTTTTAGTACTCCATTGACCATGTTTAATGCTGCCGTGTCCTTGAAAAAGACACGCACGCGTAAAACGATCCTTAGGCACGTTGGTGACATTTTGTTGTCTAGTAAAAGAGATCAATCTATCAATCTACCTTTTACGTGGTTCTTTCTCGAGCAATACATGTCCCTCGTGAATATTTTCAAGATCAGAACGTACGTTACGCCATGTACCATGAAGCACTAGCGCCCGTTTGTCATTGTCGTACGTGCCTCGGTCCTTTTCTATCATCTTGCATTTCAAATTTCCTAGTGCTTTCTTGAAAGCGTTGTCCGATGAGACCTGCATGGGTCGAATGAAAAGGTTGACTAGTACTTGCGTGCAACGATTAGAGGGCTGTACTATCTGCAAAAATGGACTCGCATTCGAAGGCGAATTCCCATGCGCTGCGCTCGTGATACATGCGCACCAAGGGCATAAATGATAACTAATGCTCAGCCAGGCGTACCGTTGGTCATCGATATCTTGAGCAGAACTGCTCCATGCAAAGTCAGACTTCATCACCAAACCTTGTCGCCAGCTTGTTAAAGTGGCACGGCTTTTGCAAGCTGTGAATCTTAAAGCTCTTTGTGCCGTCGTAGATTGTGCAGCATGCAAAAGCCTGTTGTACACAGTAACGAGATGGTGTGGCATCGTAGGAAATGAAGAGATGAGCTGTCAATGCAATACAATGTCCATCACGAGTCTTGTAGCATGCCAGCAAACTCGCCATTAGATTTACTTCGCAACTCGGATGGCGGACCAAACTCCGCAATGCGACTCTGCTTGAGTACGAGAATCTTGTCATAATCGAGAATTGTATCTACGTGATGAGCAATCGTCAGCACCGTAGCACTGGCAAACTTCCTACGGATTGAGGCCTGGATAAACTCATCTGGATATGGCAAAAGAGAAGCAATGAACTGTTGTGAGTGTAGACTTGAACGTCCAAATCGATATATAAGTGTTCCTCACCTGTAACGTGATCCATCGAAGCTGTAGCCTCATGTAGGCACAAAATGCTTACGCAGTATAGCACGCGCAAGACAGATCAGCTGTCGCTCACCAACGCTAAGATTATTACCTCCTTTCAGAACTTCGGCGAGATAAACCCTTGACAAAATTTCCAAGCAAGATTTTTGGATTGCATTCCACAATTCGTTGTCGGTGGCCTGTCCTGTCGGATCCAGATTAAAGCGCACACTTGCTGCAAAAAGAACAGGGTTCTGTGAAATATAGCTATACATGAACGTAATTCAGTCAAGCTCAGCGCAGTTGTCGCAACTCATCAATGTAGATACTGCCGCCCTTCACAGCACTGTCGAATGATACCATTCGAAAAAGCGCGAGAAGAAGCAAACTCTTGCCAGCCCCTGTGCGCCCGCAAATTCCAACTTTCTCGCCACCTTGTACGGTAAATGAGATATCGAGAAGCACCGGCATTGCATTTGAATCGTGCTTGACACAAACATTTACGAAATCGATTTTACCGTGCTCAGGCCAATAGGGTTGCAGCTGCAGCGTACGCGACATGGGTAAAGTGTAGCGCTCATGGTGATGTGCGAGCAGCGTCACCGGTTCAACATCCACGTGGCAATATTCATCTGTACGCTTCACACTAGTCACCATGTTCTCCATGTCAATTTTGCTACGAATGGTCCAATTGAGCAGCGAGGTCATATCTTGCGAGTAACATAGTAGCAAGCCTGCCATCGCACTGGGAAGTACCGCGTGGTTATGACTGACAAAGTACGCGACTGCAAAAGTGATCACTGCGCCTAGGAACTCCAATCGGACACCCAACCAGTAATCAATGAGGTTGAGCAGCAAGAAAGCTTTCGTAGTCTCATTTATCTTCAATGCTTGCATGCGCCGACTCTGCTCACTCTATTTAAAAGCTCGGATTGTTGCCAGTCCATTGAGTGTCTGCGCAGAGTGCGCGTACACACGGCCCTTAGAAATGTTATCGAAGCGCTAAAACTGCCGACAAGACTTTCCGTGGAATTGACGGTACGATGCAAAGCAAATACATACTGGAGCCAGTAGAAACAATAACACAGGGGCTATAAAGCTCTGTATCGTCAACATGCTCAACAGGCTAAGGAGCATTGTGACAAATTGCAAAGCGGCTGCGTTCAGTTTTTTTGGTCTGGAATTGGGCAAGAAACATAAGCACGATAAATGAGTACACAAATGCTATTTTGCACAGAAACCTCTGTCATGTACCAATAACGTTCATGTCGTGTGGAAAACGAGTGAGGATACGACCGACAGGCGTTGTATCGAAGAAGCGCATCGTTCCCTTAATCATGTGGTATAACAAATTATGATGAAGTCGTTTTGATGCACTGACACAACCGCAATGTTAGCAACAAAACGTATCAATCATCAAAACTACTTTTGCTTACCTAAGCCCAGCGTACTGGCAGTAGAGGCCGCCTACTAACTCAAGGACAACCGTGCTTGAACCAAGGTAGGCATAAATTGTAAGGTAAAATGTCAAGTCAACCCCAATTGAAGTGCTGCTCGTCCAGTTCGTCAGCCAAAAGTCCGTCGATACAGACGGTACTTGCGTTGCAAAGAGGAGCGCAGTCGCCCCCGATCGCCGATATTGTGCCACAAGAAACAATATATGATAAGCACACGCTCCAAGACAAATGCCCCTCGGATTTTCCTTCGTCCTGAATCAGCACCTTGTTGTCACCAGTAGCAGTTTCAAACTTGGTGCCCAAGTTTGACCATGAACTGCATTTAATGGTGCCCAAACCGTCAAGTTCGTCGCCACAATTGCACTTGATTGTTGACATCTCATCAGCACGGTATAAAGTCTTGAGCATCGTCGCATTTTTTCCGTTTGGCGTAATTTGCGTTAGGTCCTGGAACGTTCCCATCTTAGCGACGCGCATACTATCCATAACTATAATCCAGTCAGTAAGATGGGCAAAATGTAGGGAACGTGTGCTCAAGACCCGCGTACGACCAGCCAAAAGCCCGTCAGTAACCTCGTTGAAACATTGGTCAAAGATGCGTGTGGCAACGCGGGTGTCCAGCGCCGATAAAGAGTCGTCAAAGATATAGAGATTTTGCTCCTTTGAATATAAAGCCCGTGCAATCGAAAGGCGGTGCTTTTGCCCACAACTTAGCATAGCGCTAGTCTCGCCAATCTCGCTCTAAAATCCATTCGAAAGTTGCAGAACTTCTTTTTCTAGTTCACAGCTTTTGACAATTCGATGAAGACGAGCCATGTCCAATGGAACACCCAACAGAATGTTGTCCTGGACACTAGCATTGACTAGATACGGCGTTTGGGTAGCGTATGAAATATGTCGTGAAAGCATGTGAACCACCCCGTATTCAGGTTGCAGCTCTCCCAACAATGCCGCTACCAGTGTCGTTTTGCCGCTACCAGTGTCGTTTTGCCGCTTCCGACAGCACCAACAATCAGTGTCAGCTTCCCTTTTGGTATAGATATGGTAACATTCGATAGCTGTGTAGGCGTGACAAATTTACCACAACCTTTTCTCAAAGTGTCCGTCGCTTCACGACCTTCTATGAACCACTTGAACGTTGCATGCCGAATTACAAATGAAGGCTCTGAGATATACGAGATTGAAGGCGATGGCACACTGCGCGACTGGTCTGCTTTAAGATGAAGGTAAGACTTTAAGCGCTTGAGGGATACGTTCGCTTGTGAAATCAGTAGAAATACCTATGGTACTGCCATGAGGGGTAGTCTGCATATACTCAACAGTGTGATTGCAGTAAACGCCTTGTCAGCCGTAAGTGGTTCTTTTACAATGTATGAATAAGCAGCAAATGAGCCAAAAGACACGAGCACAGATCCAGTCTGTGACAGGACTTTTCCACAGACTTTCCAGGTCAGTACTTGCTTGAAAAAATAAGCTTCTTTTGCTCGAATTGCGTCTACTTGTTGCAGCACCTCACTCTCCCAAGCATAGAATTTAATCACACGAATATGTTGAAATAACTTGGTCACAAACTCGAGTCGTTTGTCCGTCCACTAGGACATCAAGTTCAACGTTTTCACTGCTTGAGACGACAGTGCAGCACTTGCTAGCAACAGTATTATCATCATCAGAACACCTACAAAGGATGCAACACCAAAATAGTATCTTAAAATTAGTATTCCAATAGCCAATTGAATAGGAGCTGTCCATATATGGTGAATGATATAAACCAATTGAAAGAGTTGAGTGGCATCGAATGTAGCCATGTGTACCATATCCTTGGAACCCACTTTAGTCGTCGTCGATTGTAATGAGAGAGTCAGTGTCTTGTGATATATGAGCATAATCAGTGCTGAACGAACGTGAAGAGCTTCACGAATAATGAGATACTGATAGTGATGAAGACAGAGTGATTGTAAGATAATATTACCATGAAAATACCAGGAAGTAGAGAGAAACCATGATATATAACAAGCAAACCATACTGGCTCTGGGTTTTGTACGTATTGTATCAATGTATTGAGACAAATAGGACCCAGAAACCCAAAATAACAATCACCCAATCATTTACATATACCGAGCTGTACATATCTTGACACCAAACGCTTAATATATCGCAAGCCATAGTGATTGGCTATTATTCGTCGTCGTAAGATTAGTCATCGCAGTTTGCAGAGTGTTGGTCACTTGGAACGTATCATCGGCATCTTCTAATGTCAATAAATCATGAAAATCAAGCGGTTTCGACGCACCAAGAGAAAGTAAAGGACTGAGTTAACTAAATGTGATACGTGATATCCAAGTAACATGAAGACGAGGTGATTGAGATGGTGGATATGTAGTAGAGTGACGAAATAGCAATGATGATGCGTCATTTTTAGCGATCGTAAACGGGACGCGTAAATGGGTACTATATAATAATCATTTTTGGGTACAAATGCAAAAATGCGCACTATTTAGATAAAGAGGTTTTATCTGAAATCATTAATCTACCAATGAATGCACTCAACGGTCAAAAAAGCACTGGCATGTTGCAACTTCAGGTTAGTGACCTGTCCTTGGTCAAATCTGGAAGGCTTTTGGCATGGCTTGAGACGGTCAAGTAGTTAAGCTCACGCTGATTGTGTGTTTATCATCTTGAATGACCGCTTTCGATTGCATCTTCATGTGTGAATTATTGCAAACACATGAGTTTCTTGAGCTTCAACAGTTCATTCTCTTGCTCGTTGAGGACGAAAACAAAACGCAGTCGGTGAGAATCCAGAGAATTAGTAGCAGACATCTGTCCTGAACACGTACAAAAGTGTCAAGTTGGACGAGAATAAAGTGCATACCTGGAAAACTACCCAGTGATGCTGCTACCTGTATCGGCGATGCTACTAGTTAGTTCATCCTTCCTCCTTTCGCTCTCCTGCTCTTTTTATTAATTTGCTCCGTCGTTTCAAGTCAATGCAGCTGACATCTAGTTCGTCAATAGCTAGGTTACGAAACCGCACATGCTGCAGGAAGACTACCGTCTGAAAGTTGAATGTTTACGTATTAGACCTTAATGACAGATACGGCATTTGACACGGATGTCTCAATGTTCTTCTTCAAAGCACGTACATAGATGACATGTAGAAGGTTTATGTTCAGGTTATTCATGTGCTCACTTGTTGCTAATCACGTTTGATCAAGGTCTCCTCCACGTGATACAATCTAGACTCGAAAGTTTATCCTCTATCTAATACAAGTACATCAAATCTATCACTCTAAATTGCTTTGGATAATGAATAGCTAGCTATCAAACTTGGTGTTGCAAACGATCCCACTTTGTACGATGTCTCATCGTCCACAATGAGATTGAAACATCTGCAAAGGTTCCTTCTTCTTCCCAAATCTTTGATGATGTTGCTTGGAATCTGGTCGAAAAGATCATCATGGCTTTTTCTGTCATACGATACACTAGCATTGAGCAACACTTCAGAGGTCGCCTAAGAAACATGTTCGGATTTCTATACACGCTACGAGGTAACTCACGCTCATTTACGGTGACTTGGTGCCAAAACACAAACAATTCACCACCTTTTCACAAGCGAGGTCGTCTTGAATGTCCATGCAATGATGTCATTCAGTGATAGGTTTTTGAAGAGAACTGGAAGGAGTGGGCTCTCCAAAGCAAAACATAAAGAAAATCTGTGACTTCCGACACATGAACCACATTATGCTGCAATAGACCTGAGGCTAAACGGGATTAGCAACGCCGTCGTTTGTGGTGCCCGAGGAAGTGACGAAGGAAACAATTACCGCAGCGGTGGACTCACACCCCACTCGCTGCTTTTGTTCTTGCACGATGTTAAACCACAAGACTTCGCTGGCCAGAGCCAACGCATCTAGAAATACATGAGTCCAATAGACCTGTCACAACCAGTAATTCAACTCCCCGATAGGAACATACCTCGTACCTTTCTTCTGCCATCTTTCTCACCAACAGAAGTAACTTCGATTATATCCTCGCGCCATCATACTGAAGAACACAAAGGTTTTTCTAGCATTACCATGTAGTTGTAAATGACAAATGATCATATATTCTGTGCCATGGACAGCTATCCTGATCGGATATTCAAACATAGATAGGTCCTTACATCGTTTATTGGTCACTCACTATTTGCTAAGCATTGTTCATTCCTTCATCTTCGGTATAGCGCTCAATCCGATACAAACATGCGTCTATGTTGCAATTTGTTATTTTACCTGGTGCTTGTGGTTCTTTTGATCTCGATGAGAACGCACATTACTCTCTTGACAACACCTCACGAGGAGCTCAAATCTCTGGATAAATTGTTACATGAAGTCTCACGTACTGACGAACTCGTCAAGAACAACAGATTACTGCGGATGGGAAGCGAAAAAGCTGATGAAAAAGTAGCAACGGATGATATCGATGGTGAGGAGCGTAGGAATTGGTTTATATACGTCGTTCGGCAAATTTGGACCAACTTAAGAATGAAGTTTTGGCTTTCCTGTCGAACACACCCGGACCAAGTTCATGACAAGCTGCATGTACAAGTAAAGAGTCTATTTGACGAAAAGTATCGGCACTACATGAGGTATCTAAGTTAAGTTTTACGTCAGGCATCCTGAATTGCAACCACAAAGCTTAAGCACGAAACTTGAAGCATCCATTATGAGGGACAGGTTAGACTACTGGCTCAAGAAAAAGCTTAATCTAAGGCAAGTTGCATTGGAAATTAACAAGTATAGATTAGGCGATGAAAACATTGCGAGATATCGTGAAATGTGGACGAAAATACATGGTGGAGATAACTAAGTCGAATCGATAGGACGACTCGACTCGATTGAGAGTCGAGTAGCCATGATATCCACGAAGCTTTGGCTATTTTACCACGTAGCAACCACGACTTGATATGCACTATTGAATGAATATCACTACGGTGAGTATTTGCCAAACCATGTTAGGTTACAGTACTAAAAAGCATGCAGACTACATGCACGTAGGAACGATGTTCTGGTCGTGTGTATCTAATATTTGTTACCAGAAAAATTGACGCTGACGATGGACCGTAGAGCCTCAAGCATATGGCGTGTGTGCACATCGTACGGGCTAATCCATGCAGTCCAAACAAACGTATACATGATAATGGTGGATGGCCATGGAGCAAGCATCTTACACAATCTCGATCAGAATTCTCTTCATTTTTGGTTAAACGCTCCATCCTCATTTGACATTCGGTTGTATAGTGCAGAAAAGCAGACTATCACCATGCAAACTAGTTTCTTGCTCGTGGTCTTTGTGATAAGCAGTATTGAATTCGCTACCGCTCGTAATCTCAGGACTTTTGACACGGGTCATTGCTAACGCGGATGAGGTGAAAGAAGTTGGTGGTATAATGAATGACCAGACTACTTAATTTCTGCGTCGGAGACCAAAAGGCGCAAAGATTGAACCGAAAGAGGCCAAGGAAGTTTCCATGTGGGCAAACTCGCTTGCAGACAAGGATAAAGCTACAACAAAGCTTACGTTACAAAAGGCAAAAGCGGTCAACTTGTATGTTAGGAAACACCCTGACCGGTGGAGGGTAATGGCATACTACCTCAGAACTGTTTACGGTGTAGTGCTTGCAGCAGTTATCCTGTATGGTGCTATTTTCTTCGGATGGCGCCCAGCTGGGATGGGAGGCCCTCGATAATCATTCTTGCACAGCGAGACCGTGTTAATGTCTATTGTGGTGATCAGATGATAGGACACAACGGGCACCATGACAGCAATCAGCTTCCAACAGTACTTGACAAAGGCACAAGAATCAGTTTTTGCTTTGCCACCGAGATTGCGCAACATGTAGAAATTAATAGTCGCAACACGAACACAAAGGCAGACAGCTCTTCGTTATTTTAAAGTCAATAACCAAAGGTAACAACTACTTACGTAGTCACAGCTGCGCTCCTTGATTATAGATGCCGTGCATCCGACCCTTGTTATATTGTTTCATAACCTCGGCGACGACGGCGCAATAGAAAGACCAGGATGATCGCAGCCAAAAAAGCGCAGCCCACGACGATACCCACAATACCAGTGATTGAAAACTTGGAACCCTTCTTTCCATGAGATGTATTTGTCGATCCTTTGCCTTCCGTACCAGATCCACTAGTCGAGTTGCCATTCTCATTTTCATCCTTTTCAGGCTTACCGGAAGTGTTGGCGTCTACCGACTTCTCCTTCTTTCCGGGTCCAGGTGCCGCAGCAGGTTGGGCCACCACCTTTACATGAAATTCCTGACCAATTGACATATCAAGACGAGACAGAACCAGCATGTCTGACTGCGCAAAGTAGTCGGCCTTCACTGAATGCTGACGCGAAGATCCTCCTTTCGGTGACAAAAGTGTTGCGTCCATTGACGAATTTGCTGCAAAACCATTTCCATACACACCATACACGCGCACTTCTTTGAGGTCTGCATGCATCTCGGGTCCAGCGTATCCGTGAAATTTAACCGAGCTCTTAAACTCAATTGTATCGCTTGCATTTTGATATACGTCAAAGCTTACCAATGAGTATCGGTGATCTTCCACAGCCAGCAGTGAATCACCATCATCAATATAAAGCTCTCCAGCCGCCGATGCATTTTCCTGTGTTTTATCGAGCGCCGCGAGAAGCGTGAAAGCTCCTCGTCGAGAAAGAGCTGTTGTAGTAAGAGATTGTTGCGTTGGGACAATATAACCTCCACGAAGATGAACTTGAAGCTTGGGCAACGGGGTCAACAAACTAACACGTCGATTACCACTAGCCGCAGGATCCAACGTCATTTTGCCACTATGAGCATCGTACCAATGACCAGCAGGGAAATACACCTCTGTAGAGATAGCGCCTTCATGCACGACGGGTGATATCATCAGGGCCGGACCTAGTAAATACTGATTTTCAATATTTCGTGCGTTCTTGTCATCTGGAAATTCAAACGAAAGCAGTCGAGCCACAGGAGTGCCCGAACGATGTGCCTTGTAGAAAAGAGTATACATATACGGCAGGTACCGATAGCGTCTCAAAAGAGTTGCCCGCAAAATGTTCAGGGCATCGGCATCGAAGTCACTAGGCGTTTGTTTGGCTACGTCACTTTCGGCATGGTTGCGAATTAGTGGCAAAAATGACGCAGCTTGATGCCAGCGTACGCAAAGCTCTCTCGACGATCGTCCTCTAGAGCCGCACACGTTCGGTCCTGTTAGTGGAACACCCAACAAATTCATCTGCAATGTCCCAGAAATCGACAAGCGCAGTTGTTCCCAGGAAGCTTCTGCATCATCGCTCAGCCAGTGACCAGTATATCGACCACTTCCAGAGAAAGTTGAGCGAGAAAGCAGCACACTGCGTTTCTTAACAATGGCGTCGAGAGCGTGTCGCGTAGCGCGAGCGTGCTCATGGCCATACAGAGAATGAAGGTTATAATGGAGTGATAGATGATGAAGCGCCGCCATTGGTAGCGTAGCAGAGTTCAGATTGCCATGTCCCCCACTGTTGGGATTGTTCTGCCCCGGAGCAAATGGTTGACGATACGGATCAAACGGAAAACTCACGTCTTGTGTACGAATAAACCCGCCATCAACCCCAAATGCAAATTCTTGCAAATCATCGACCCCATTGTCATACAGCGACTCTGCTCTGGTCTGATGGCGCTCACTGCAAACATGAGCACAAATGTCATCTTCGGCAGCCAAAGTGCAGTCACAAGCAGTGCTGGGTTCGTTTCTGTCTAGCCACAGACCGTCGAAAGGCACAACATACTTGTGGATGGTAGCCAGTTGCTCGTGCCAATAGCGCAATGCTTCAGGGTGAAAAAAGTCTACAAACACCGCCCAGCCAGATTGGAACGCTTTCTGCGCGTAACGCTCGCCATTGACCCCTTTTACAAAAACATCAAGCTCTTGACCGCGCGCAATTGGATCCCATTCTCCTTCACCTTCTTGGTCGCTGCTGCGATGATCACGGTCACTTTCCGTTTGACCATCAGAAGCGCTGTGGTTGTCGTCCACATAAGTGCCATCTCGATCGCTACTACTTTTCGTATCGGCCTCATTGCCAGAAGCATTGTCATCGCCGTATCCGGCATCTTCACTCTTGTTTCTTCCATCACGACCATGCAATGCAAGAATATTCGGTTTTACGTTCATCACAGCACTGTACCTTGCTATTTCATCACCATGCTCACCGTTCATTGACGTGTTTGACAAAGAAATAGTCGGAACCTGGATACACATCACATACTGACTGTGAAAGTGCAAGTCGTCAATAAACGCGCGCATGTCGCGTTGTAAACGCTTTCTTTCATCCAACGAGAGCGCACGTCTATCATTTGCCATGTACTCGAAACCGTGCCAGTACGCATCCATAGGGACACCAGCTGTGCGGAGCCGCGTAACGACGTCCATCGCATCATCAACCGAAGCTGCTTCTCCATGCCGGCCCAGATGATAGCCCAAGGCCCAATAAGGAGGCATAGCTGGACGACCAACAATATCTGTGTATTGTTCAATAACATCGTGTGGAGTTGGACCAGAACAGATAAAGACATCGATAACGCCACCCGTGAGCCGGTATGTTAGGGCATCGCTGCGCGCCACGACCTCCATCGCGTTCGAGGACAGCATAAATATACCGTGGGCATTGCCTGATTGACCGTCCTCCAGCTGCATCACGAAAGGATGTACGCCGTAAAGATTGTCACCACCACTGCGAGCATGCACAGGAGCGGATACGTTTGGCGCTCGTGCAAACATCGGGTACAGATCTCCTTCATTATCTGCATAAAGACGCGCTTTCCCTCGTCGTTCACCAAGTCCATACAAAACAGGCTCTTCGTCGTCTTCACCAGGTATCAATTGGGTTGACATCTCAAGGAACTGATTTTCAAATATCAAGCCACTGAAGGTACTAGCGTTTTCCGGAGGCGTTGAATTAAACAGCACCTCACCAGAGTGTCGACGTGTGACTGCAACTCCAAACGGCCATGGCGTAAAGTGAACCTTGTAATCAACTTCGTCCTCCCCCATATTTCTTTCGTTCTCTTTCTGAAGCCGTACAGGTAGATCTGGTACTTCGTATCGTGGAAACGCTGGGTCAGTGATACGGATCCGAACTTGACTTGCCGACTCCCGGACTACGTGTAGCTCTAGCAGAGGCACATCGTTTCCAAATGGTCCACGACTTCCATGACGCATTGCCAGCGTCCCACGCCATCCATTTCTTGTCTTGTCCAATGTTAGTAGCTCATATCCATCCGATAGAGGCTGAAAACAGTCACCATCGTCATAGCAACAGCCAATTGATTCACAAGTGTCAGCGTCTTCCAATACCTTAGAAGATGCAAATCGTGGGTTGCGACACGCTAAACGTGACGACTTGGCAATGTTTTGGCACTTTGCATTCACGTGAGAGCTTTCTTCCATTGCAAAAGCACATGGAATACCTTCATTCTCGAGACTTTTCCAACAACAACCTTGAGCAAGACACAATTCTTCTGTCGGCTCTGGAAAATGTGGACTTGGTGGATAGCAATCTACGCGTTGTCGTGTCTCCTTTGCACACTTGATATCAGCACTAGCAACTACAGCAGATATCAAATCAACTGCGATACTATGGACACTGCCAAAGCTGATACAGGCCGAAACCACCACAAGTTGAAGTATGACCATCACTCTTGAACACGTCAATCACTCTTGCTCGCGATTACTTACACTTTCTTCCTCTAGCGTCTACACTCAAAGCTGCAAATTGAGTTGTGTTCTTACTAGAGTCCCCTATCTGTCATATTATGGATGTGAGAAGGTTAAGGTTTGAACTGCGCCTACATACGTCGGGTCGCACACATTCCTCATCTTTCTGCTCCTTTTCCTTCAAGTCTCAACTGACATTTGACTCTTTAGTATAATGTAAACCACCTGAAGTCATGACATATTACCCAACATTATGTAGTGTACACTATTCCTTACAAATCTACGAGGTGTCAAAATTGTGTGTACAACATAACAACCATAAGAAAATACGAAGAGACAGACGCGTCAATGGAGCCACCAAGTTTACTACCGCACGTCGATGAGCTCGTGATGGAGTATTTATTATTCCGTGGCTTTGCTAAAGTACGAATTCTATCTCCTCTATCCTTCGTCTATCGATCTATACTAATGTAATGTCCTATTAATACTATATTTTGTATGTACTAGAGCTTTCAAGTATTTAGTGCTGAGCGTAAACGTGATCGTGCCAAGGGCTTTGACGTGGAACAAATCATCTCTCAATTGTTATTATCCGTACAAAAGTATGTACAATTGGTGACTGATGACTAGCACTCGTCGTATTCGTACTCGTCGTCGTCGCTGGATTAGTACTCTAATATCTCTTGTTTTGTCATGTTGTTTGTCTAGTTATCAGATTGAATCAGTATTGGAAACATGGAAGTTCTTAACTGCACGTTTCTTTAATCATTTAGATGCGTCTTATATATCGGTATAGCGTGATATTAAGACGAGACACGTATTGAGATGAACATTTGCATATGATGTCATTGTTGTAACTGTAATTGTTGTTGTTGTTGTTGTTGTTTGATCTTTGTTTTCATGTTTAGACATTGCAACAGTTGGAAACGTCATTGCTGAGACTTTATGTGGTGAATGCCGTCAAGTGTGGACATCGAGAGAAAGCTACCGAGTTTTTTCAAATGTATGCGGATAAACTAAATGCTTCCGTGGCAGCTAAAGAAAGTGGAGGGTCGGATTCATGGAGTCGCTGGTTTATTTTGCCATATATTGAGCACCCAGAGAACGACCCGTACTTTCAAGTATTCTTTGGTCAGCCGTGGCTGGAGGCCTTTGTAACGTCTTTTCGTAATTTTTTATCGCTTGTTTTTCGAAACTTGCCATTGCCGAAGTTGTTGGCTTTTCAGCTAGCAAGACTAGAAGAGCCGACTTTGAAATTGCGCCTTAAGGTAAGCCAGTCGGAAGCTACGAGACTTAGATTATACAATAGCGAAGCAACAGCTAAGATCACGAAATTGGAAGAAGCTGGACGGCAATTGCACTCGATTCTACGCATGATGGTGCAGCACAGCTTCATGGAACACTTTTCAACTTCAAGTTCTATGGATGTGGCAAATAATAGGAATAAAAATCGGAGCCGGAGCCGCAGCCATGGTGCAGCAACAGCGAATGTTGGACTCTCGCAGAAGCAGATGAAAGACATTAGAGATCTTTTTGGTATAATCAACGAAGATGGTTCGCATGTAGATTGTTCGTCCGTGGACCCGCGTGACATCCCACGTGTTGCAGAAGTGTACCTGCCTGTTGATGAGCTGAGTGATGATGACGCTCTCGATCGAGATAACAAAGAGGACGAAGATATTGTGGATGCGTCAAAAAACCTAGAGAATGAAGCAAACGATGATACTATGGCACAAGTGTTTTGTCCTGTTGGCATCTCCTCAAGTCCTTTTGCTGAAAACTTGTCGAATGACCAGCCATTACCGCCATGGTCTACTGACGAATCTGATAAACTGAGCGAAAACATTCGGGCATCTTTGATTCGTGAATTTAGTATGTTCAACGACCAGGTTCCAACAACGTCAGCGATGACTACAAGGGAGTCGATTCTCCCCCGACGGCCACTTTCTTGCTATTGCAAAGCTTGGCAGCACTCACATTGACATTTGGTCTACGAATGCTGTAGCCGTTGCTCCGTTTTCTACAATTAAGTTACCGGCACGACTGACTAGCCTGAGTTGGTTGGGTCCGAGAGCAAACAAACAGGTACATTAGAAAGGGCACAAGGTTTGACGATTTGATTATGCAGTGTCTTACTCATGTGTATGTCAACTCTCTGACTGTGTCAGCTGCTAGCGTGTACACTGGAAGGAGGAGATCTGATGCTATGGGACACTGATGGACAGAAAATTATCACGTGTCCACCAAACGAGAAAAACGTGCAAGCTCAACAACTCATGTGTGCTCGGGAAGCACCCATTGCTGCGTGTTTGCTTACTAGTCTTGATGAAGAGGAAAATACCTTCCAACAAGTTCTTGTTTTGCATGGAGGTATGGAGGAGCCCTTGCAAGACTACTTTTCTATGGAAGGAAAGCAACTTACGTGCCTAGCGTGGAGCAATATGGGAAATGTGCTGATAACAGGAAGCATAACAGGGAACATTGAGTTTATCGACGTGATTTGCCCAGAGCGGATACACCGGTGTAATCTGGTTACATGCAGCGGCTCCGCACGCACTGAAGTTGGTAATTTATCCGCCATCTGTTTGTCCCCCCGATGGAACGTCAATGTTGAGTGTTCATGAGAACGCCAGTGCTGTGATGGAATGGTCTGTCACGCCAATTATGGTTGCTGTCGCCGCTCAAACTGATGCGTCTAGCGTTGTTAAAGGAAGCGTGATCGATATGAAGCCAACACTATTGGGTACGTACCAGATGGACAAACCGTTGGCTGCCCATGACACTGGGGTAGACACGACGATACGCTTTGTTGGATCGGGTGATTATTTTGTGGTTGCTGATGCTGCTGTTCTCTATATTTTCAAGGTACGAAACAAGTGACAAGTTGCGTGTCACGAAACTTGCCAGTTAAACTGACTACGTTTACCATATTGTATGTGTTGTGTAACCTACAGCGTGGCGAAGAACGTGCTATGTTGACTTTCTTACCAAATCAAGCAACGATGGCAGATTTAGATTGTCATCCGAATCTACCTGTGAGTTGTTCTGCTAACCAAGACGGTGCCGTTTCGTTGTGGAGCATGAAGGGAGTTTGAGGTGATGCATAACGACATCGTCACCGACTCGTGTTAGAATAGAACCAATGGATTGATCACGCAGACTTCATACGTTCACATGACGAACAACAGATTAGCGTCTGCTACGTGATCCAGCATTCACTGCATCGATGCAAACAAGAACAGATCGTGTCTACATGCCGTTCATGAAGATGTCAATGACAGGAATGCACCTGTACGTCAACTTTACTATTTGATCACATATGCGAAGCGCTAGTAAAGAAATGAACAGCTCAGAACTGGCCGATGGATCAGATTATGAAACCCGTCAAGTAAATATCGTGCTGGATTTAACTTTTTATGGCAAGTCGTTCAACGTTTACCCTAATATAACGTTAGGCATATCATTAACGCTATTTCATTGAAAGCAAAGATACCAACTGTCTATATCTGCAATATGGCTGACAAGATATGTCGGAAGGTCCTATGTCAAGCGAACAACGCCAGGGCCATGATAGGTTCGGAGATTGTTCGCAATACTAGGCGTCTCTTAAGTTTGTGCGTTGATACTATCATATAAGCCCGTTGTGATGTAAAGGCAGCTCGCACGGCTTGTCGAACTGACTTGTGCGACCATAGAAGAGATGACGCGTAGCGTGCGATTGCCGCCCAGCCATGTAGCTCCTGGTCGAGCGCATGCCCTAGATATAACTCCACTCACTTTGGCTCTCGCGAATGAGGAAATTCCCGCCGAAGGAAGAAGGAAGTGCCCGAGAGGAGGGACTGAGGACAATCCTGGAGCTAACCTGATCGTGGAAACGCAATAATTTGAGACCTGACTTGCTCAGAATGCAGCATGTACTTTAAAAATACAGCAATACCCTATTATAATCCATCAAATCTAAATTAAGGTTCTCTTCTACTGCGGCTTTCATAGCTTTGGTATTGAATAAGTATGTTTGAAACCAATCTTTCGTCCGACTTCTCCACCAAGATTTGGAATGGTCTTTCTCCAATGAGCTTATCAAATCATCCTCTATATGTCTTAAACATCTTGACTGGTCACAGTTCTTCAAGCAGCTATCTTTGTATCGCATGGCTTTGCAAATAGTATTAGTTGTAGGTTCTTCATTGCACTATCTACGTCAACATGTGGCAATCTAATCGGTCGGCTAACAAAAATGCGAAATCTCGGCGCAGTTTAATATATACGATGACCTCCATACACACAGCTAAGACCTTGCAGTGCCGACCATGATGATCATCGGCTTCTTGTATACATCGCTGGCTACAATTGCTACAGTCTTCGGTCACGATGCAGTCAATCTTACAAATACAAACATCAATTTCCTCATGTTCATTGGAAATGAAAACACACAACGATACCGATAGGAATGCCGAACACGACGGTGACGACAATGAGGCTAAACACAACGGTGCCGGCAATGAATCCGAATACGACGGTGACGACAGTAAAGCAGAACACAACAGTGACGATTATGAAGCAGGACACAACAATGCAGAAGACGACTCAACAAATCAACATTGAGGACATTAAGGTTCAGACAAAGCTCCTACAGGTGATTGAGAAACTTTGGACGCGTATAAATACTTTAATACCACCAGACACAAGACAAAATGGAACCTCAACACCTACTTCGGCTCCTACACCAGCCTCAACACCGGCTCCGACTCCTACACCAGCCTCAACGCCTGCTCCAACTCCTACACTAGCCTCAACATCTGCCCCGACTCCTACATTAGCCTCGACATCTGCTCCAACTCCTACACTGCCCTCGGACCCGTCTTCGTGGAACGTGACTTGGATCTGTCATGACAAAGTAGAGCCGTTTGCCCAACCTGTGCCCGTGACAGACTCCGAAAGGGCTGGCATCAAATTAAAACCTCAGTTCCACATAGTCAACGGTTGTCACTCGTATCCTGCAGTAAAAAGCAGGAGAGACAAGCGATGGTCTTTTGCCAACCGAACGTTCAAGCGGTGGTTGCCATGGACCAAAGTCGGGATCTCAAATTTACGGACGTTCAGGTTGGTACCAGCACGTCTATGTTATCATGTACGCATGGTACTTTCCAAAAGATTCCCCTTCGTGGTGTCTAGGTCACCGTCACGATTAGGAGAACGTTATCGTATGGATTAACGATCCTTACTTAACAACGCCGAAGATTTTGGCTGTAACGCCGTCAGCCCACAGTGGATATTTGAAGATGCTCAATCCTGGTGCAGACTTTGTGAACGGTTCAAGTGTGAAAATCAAAAACGAGAGCTATTGGCCGGTCAACCATGCTCTCGGATTCACTTCCAAGCGTGGTGACTTCCAGGACCTGATCATGTGGGAACAGCTGTCCACGAACGCATGTCGCGCCTTCAATGAGGTCCCCTGGGGTGAAGCAAACATGCCCTTGAACGACTGGAACTTTCGAAACAAGCTTAAAAAGGCTTGGCCATTCTAATATAAGAAATAGATCTGAGAACGCAACTAGCATCCAAACATGATAAGGGCATGCATGACGTATTCGTGTATCTACCACCCTTTACCATTATTACAAAGGTTGAAGATCAGGTAGGCAAAGTGCTCAAGTGCCTGCGTGTTGGCATCGTAGTCGACCGGTTAAACTACACCTTAACCATAGCGGCACAAAGCATGAGAACATGGTGCCACATCCTTATTAGCAAAACGAACTTGCTGAACGGATAGACAGAAGCGTTGGGGAGATCGCGTGCTGCATTCTATGCCGTAAAAGCACCGTGAGAAGAAGTGGTGGGCTCAATCTGTTGACACAGCTACCTGATACATTGATTGTATCTCATACTCTGTGAAGGTTTAGACGCTCGACATGATCGTGTCCAAGACCGAGTTGCAGTTCACGAACGCAAATGTGTCACTTTGTTACACGCACATCCCAGACAAGAATACTGTTAGCGCGGTCGCAAAATATTCAATCGTTGCTCTGTAAGCTGTAAGGATAGCAGCGTCCTCAACATGATTTGGAAAAGAAGGTACACCGGTCAAGCTTATGGAGATGAACGGAACGATCGAGGACACCTGATGGGACTTCTCAGCGTCGAGAATATACTCCGATTGCTACAATGTTTTTCTTAGGCAAGTAAACATCACCATGCTAGATGCAGATCGCGCCGTCTACACTTTCGATCTGGTTTGAGCGTTAAGAAGCTTAAACGGTTCCGATTCAGATTTTCTCTTGTGTGCTCGCGTCGACTTGAGAATTTATCCTCTATCATCCATACATCGATATATCACTCACTCTCCATAATTTGGACTGAGTAGCTACAAAGCTTGGCATTACAAATAATCAGTGCGAAAAGATCTCTTTGCTTGCCTGATAATGACCACCTTCTGCACTTCTTGCTTTAATCTTGAATCAATGTGTCCAAAACCCGGGAACAAGTAGACGAAAGATGGAAGTGATGATGGTTTTAGCATGTGCGTCGTGAAAATTAGAGTCCTCTATTCTACAAATTTTCTGTAACACGTTCTTCGCTATAATATCTTATTATAAATGCTTTGTCCTTATTATAAGTGGCACTAAAAACGAGGATGAAAAACCAGTTTGGAACTGGTTCCATTCGGCGTGATCTTAGCGTCATGTTCATGTCTGGTCGTCGTGCTGAGCTCCTCGCAGCTTTCACGCTAACTGTCTATATATTCCTATGTCCCTTTGCAAAAGTTGAAGAAAGTTTCAATCTTCAAGCAATTCACGATGTTCTGGTCTTTGGCATGACAAATATCGAGAAATTTGATCATTTCGAATTCCCGGGGGTCGTTCCCCGGACATTTCTAGGTTCTTTATTCGTAGCTGGTCTCAATTATCCTATCTATTGGCTTGTTCAATCCATTGGTGGTTGTAAATTCTGGATCCAATTGACTACACGATGGATCTTGGGCATGATGACGTTAGGAGGTTTACTCTTTTTTAATCATGGTATTGAAAGGCACTTTGGTCGCGATACAAGTCGCTTTTTCCTATTTGTTTGTATCGCTCAATTCCATCTTTTATTTTATATGAGTCGTACTCTACCAAATGTCTATGCACTGGTAAGACAAATGTGATAAAAAAATAAAGGGGTATAGAATAAAGTACTCTAACACTGTATTTGGTAATACGTATTGTGATCCGCCATGAATTTAGATCTTCGTGCTCGTTGGATTCGGATTTTGGCTTCGGGTATGAGGAATATCGATGTATATTGGTCGTATCGTGGAAAATGATGAAAATAGCTTTCTAACCATGTTTGCTACGTTTGCTACTTCTTCTATAGGGCAAGTGGCAGTCTTGTGTATACTTGTTTACATTTGCAACAATCGTCTTTCGTGGTGATACGATTGTCTTGTTTGCACCAATGGCATTGAATATGCTCTTTTCACGTCGAGTCTCCTTCGGGCGGATGATTTGGTGGGGATTGGTAGCGGGATTTGTGTCATTGACTGGCACGGTTCTAGTGGACTCGTATTTCTGGCAGCGTTGGCTCTGGCCAGAGGGTGAAGTCTTGTGGTTTAATATCGTGCAAAACAAAAGCAGTGAGTGGGGTGTGAGTCCACCGCTATGGTATTTTACATCAGCACTACCTCGGGCACTACAAATGACGGCGTTGCTAATCCCGTTTGGCCTCAGGTCTGGTGCAGCGTCATATGGTTCATGTGTTGGAAGTTTCGTGATTTTTTCTTATTGTTTTGTTTTACACAGCCCTTTGCTTCCAGCTCTCTCTAAAAGCCGATCGACGAATGAAATTGCATGGACATTCAAGACAACACCGATTGTGGACTGGAGTGTACTATCGATGGTATGGCCCGTGTTTGTCTACCTGGTTCTTTACTCATTTTTACCCCACAAGGAGCTTCGCTTCATTTTCAACGCGATCCCGATCTTGAATATGGTGTCCGCTGTGGTGCGTATTTACAAGATGAGATCGTACCTTATCTGCTCTGTGACATACATGTGATTGTAATTGTGTTAACGTGATACGTAGGGATTGGCAAAGTTGTACCGCAATCGTAGCAAAGTAAGAACGCTATTTTGCACTTTGCACTCGCTCACGTCATTTGTAGTGGTTCTTCCTGCAGCGTTTAGTGACGCTTTGGACTGATCGTTTGTTCTTGTATAGGCGCGTTTGCCTTTTGTTGGAGCCATTGGCTGTTTATTGATAACAACTGTTGGCACCCTGGTCTTGCTTACAGCTGCTCGATCTAACTATCCCGGTAAAATGTGTTGTCATTTTGCAAATGCGTTTGTTCTTACTGACACATTTCCTGATAGGTGGTGAGGCGTTTGTGCGTTTGCACCAAGTTGCCGTAAATGAGCGCGAGTTACCTCGTAGCGTGCATATTGATGTTCCAGCCGCTATGACAGGTGTATCGCGGTTTGGAGAAGTGTTCCCTGCGTGGAGGTTTGTAATCCTATTCTGCATCTGTAATCATTGAAGAGTTGCAGCTGACCTGCAGTGTGTTTGTAGCTACTCTAAGGATGAATCGCTGACAGCAGTACAGCAATTGGTAAAGTTTGACTATTTGCTCACAGCCAAGGACCCAGCGCTGCTAGAAGACGAGTTTCAGTACATTGCTGGTTTTGATGTCTTTGCTGGTGTGGAAATTGTTGACTTCCGTATTACTCTGAAGACGAAAAGAGTGGTTTTCCTTATGCAAAACCGCAACATTACTACTGGCCAAACTTAGCGCTACACACATGACTTTGGAAAGAGACAAACATGCGTTGTCAAGGTATCGGTCAAGTATGGTGAATAGTTCGACATACACTTGGACATCCAATTGGTTGGTTATCAGTACGTTAAATCTTGCGCAGTGGGTCTGAAAAACTACAGGAAGCATCATCGACCGAGTCAAGTAAGTGATGACGTGCTTTTGGCAACCATAAGTGCCGTTGATGATCACATGAATTAAAGGCTATACATTTAGATACTAACGATGGCTGCTTGACACTGCTCGGCGTATAAGCACAGCCTCCTGCACCAGCTTTACTATGGCAACTTCAATCGAGTAACATATCCTACAAAGCATAGGAATCGCAGCAGATTTTTTGCACTTTCCTCTCCTCGGGCCGGGCTTGTGCCATGGCGTAGTGCTGAGTCACAATTACTAAATTCCTCCAGATCAAATGGCTCCGAGTCTCGACAACGGAGCCACTCCACCATTCTCGAATGCTCTGCCGAACACTGAAACTTCACATGCAGTTGCGACTGAAATCCGTCATTGCCGAACAGCTCATCGAGCGTGTATGTGTGTTTGCTACCATGAGCAAGCGTGCCTATCGTCTGCTTTCGTTTCGGGTGGGGCTTTGACGTCTTTTTTAGCGCATGATGCGAATGCCGCCCCATTCCTGAAGTTGGGTTGTCTATACTAGACTGTGCTACTCCTTCTGGAACAGGTAAATGTGGAATTTCAGCTACATTTGAGAGAACTGCGACTGGGTTCACTCGGTATGCTGCATCTTTGAAGACCTTTTCATGCTTCAACTTGAATTTCGGGTTTGTCAAATCCACTTCAATCCTTCTTGACTTTGAAGAAACGCTTCTATCCTGGATCAGACCACGATCAATAAGGTCGTTCATGTCTTCAGTACCAAGATACTCCGGCAACAAATCGCTACCTTCTACCTCGGCCATCTCGTTGCAAAGAGACTTCATGCATGCTTCCACGTGGTGTCGTGTTGCCTTGAATTGACCACGGTTGCCAGGATATAATTGTACCCCCATCCTCCATTGTTTATCACCCCAAGCTAATTGTTTCAATGCTGAAAACGCCAAGTTCTCGTAAGTCATCGAGGCTAGCTGCACTTCCATCCACAGCGCGTTCGGACCCTGTGTTTCAACTTCGAACCATGCTCCAGCAGCAAGATATACGACTGATCCAGGCTTCAGTAAGAATTTTTTTTGCTCAGAAAACTCTTCGTCTCTGTCGTTGAATGCACCAACATCTTCAGCTGGCGTAAACAGAGTCCCCGACGTAGCTTTGTCCATCGTAGCCACTCGATGAGTTTTGGCGACATGAATCATATCGTCCAGTAGCCACGACTCTGGATGGAAGCACTCAAGAGGATACTCCACTTGACTCATTCTAGTTTTCCAGATTGACGTGCCGCCAAGTTGAAACACCACGGTCTCAGTCCGATGGAACCGCCAGTCTAGTACAGCTCCCTCAAGAGGACAGCTTACCAAATTAGCACTGTGCTGACGCATTGCGTACTCGAGACCCAGCTCCTTCGCCAACGGTACGATGAAATGTTCAGCCACACGACGAGGTGCCGGGAAGCGCAAGGGGCATTTCTCCAAGCACCGCGCTTTTGCCTTTGACACCGGATCCACTTGATCTTGTCCCGTTGTACGTCGGACACCAAACAGCTTTACATGAAGCTGCAGTATTGGGCCATCCAATTGGTTCACAGTATCCAATAAGTTGTGCACATTCAGGTGCCGCAAGCCGCTGATATCGTCTTCAATCAGCTGTTGAAACCGAGCGATTGGTGCATTGCCAGCAAAAGAAGCACGTTGGAAAGCGTGTTTCAGTTTAGCGGCTAGCTCATCGGTCCCCATCACATGCACAAGCGACACGTTGCCAGCCTCGTTTTCCTGTTTAACGGTCTGAGTTACTGCTGCAGATGCATATGGTGGTGCCTTGTCCCTCGTATCATCAAATTCTGTGGCTTGGCTGTCCTTCTGATGTCTTGCAACAACACCCTTCGACGTTGTCACGTGACTCCCATGCTTACGACTTCTGGGTGACTTTTTAGGAGATGAAGTGCTCACACGGTCAGCAGAATTCTTCCCAGGATACGTAAGCTTTGGCGATTCCACCTTCACTCGAGTAGATCGACGCAAAGGTGTCGTGTGAGGAAATTTCGGAGGAGTTAAGGTGTTCTTTGGCTTCTTTGGACTTGCACGCGTCAACCGTTTGGGAGTACGTGTCGAAGTAGAAGCGACAGGTTTTGCTGGAGAAAGATGGCGCACGCCATCACCGGTGCTGTCATCATCAGTAATCTCAGTCATATCGCTTCGTGGTGATAAGCTCTGCTTTCTCTTCGCTGATTTTACCGGTTTAGTCGTCTTCGCTGCGTCTGATCTGCCCTTCGCACCATTTTGACGTTCTGCAGCAACTGTCGGTGCTGACGTCAAAATCTGAGACTCTTGTTGCAATTCCTGACTTTCGCCTCTGTCACTCTTATCGTCATTTGGTTCACCAGCGGAGTCACGATCCGGCAGAGTGTCAACGTCTCGATCCTCTTCCGGCTCAACCTCCATAGGTTGTCCAATATCATCGAGCAATTCTTCAAGAACTGGAGATAGAACATTCTTCCCAACAGCCTGTTCGTCCTCTCCATTGATACTGATCTTTTCATCATTCTTGTCATCGGGTCTGCTGTCTATCGACTGGTGCGTACCGTTCCAAATCTGCACATCTTCTCTGCTTGAATGTTGACTAGTATCACACGACATGTAGCTGTTTGGGCCGCCATCAAGCTCTCTCTTGTCTTCAGTAGATACAAGTTCCAGTGTCGACACAACTGCACGTTCAATTACTGGCGACGACGTATTCACAATGACAGTCACGAGCTTATCATCCTGGTGCACATTGTCGGACACATTCTGTTTTCTTCATGACTCTCATACGAGTATTTTTTCACGACGGTTGTTTCTTCAACCACAGTGTGAGAACCAACATCAAACGTGTGCAATATACGAACACCCGTGTCCAAACCAACAGGATCAGACGCAACCCGGACGTCATACTCCTCATTAGCGAACTCTTCGTTAGTCACGTCACCACCAAATCGTTCCACTTCCTCTGTGTCAAGATTCTCGCTCGATTCACTGTCACCATCAAGACCGTCTTCGGGAATGTAACCACAACTATTGTTGATTTTATCGTTTCCCTCATTGTCTGCTTTGGAATCGCGCTTGACTCCATCATCTTTGGCATCAATATCTGCTTTGGATTCACACTTGTCTTCGTCAACGTTGTCACCATTAGCAGGGCATGAAGCAAGTGTTAGCATTTGTCTTGGTTCGGAAGGCGGTGTATCTACACCCATTCCAGTCGCGGCCATTGCATTGATTAGCTGCTTCACTGTTTCGGCCACACGTTGAGCTGCCTGGCAACTGTTCTCGAACGATAAACGCAGCAGACTTAATATGTTTGCTTAGCTTTGTAGTCTTGTCTTCTTTCCAACTGGAAACAACGTTAGTGGGAAACGACGAGGAAAAGTTGGTGAATTCTTCCGGGACGAGACACAACGCGATGGGAATGAATGACCAGAAGAAAATCAACAACACATTTCAATACGCGTTAAATATTGCACTTATCACCAATCCAACACACAACCATCTCATTCTTCGCTAAACTCTGTCCACTCCATATCGAGTACAGCGTACAGAGCAGTTTTCATTTCAGCCTTAGCACCATATAACGGCAGCTCAACGCGGTTAAAGCACGTGTGCACCTTCGGAAAGCCACGTGTTTGGCCTACCAATGGCCGCAACGAAAAGGGGCAGATGCGGCCGTCGTAGCTCGTAAGGCCCTTGAAGCCCTGCACTGGCACGCGTGACGAGCCCGTTGAAAACTGCAGAAAACGGGCACGCTCGTCTTCGGTGAAGCCCTCGAGAACTTCCCAGAACCAACCAACGACCATGGGAGCATCACTAAAGCTAGGAGCGACGACAGTATTGCGTTTCCAGTCAGCCATATCAATTTCGGGTAGGCCACAGAGTACAAGCTCTAGCTCTTGATAATCAAACACTAGTAGAGCCTCCTGCGGTATAATCTCAAACAAGCCAAGAGATAGCGCTTGTAGCTGCGGTGCATACCGGTCTAGCATGAGGTAACGTAGCTTGAGGTGCAGAAACTCCATCTTGTTTCCATCCGTCACAGCCTTATTCCGTCCATCCGGAACTAAATCCACAGTTACGACTTCATCATCGGCTCGTAGCTCGGTGACACTGAATGTCAGCTCCAAAGCATCCACACCGTCATTATCACGTATCCATATCATGCTTGTGTACACTTCTGGGTCCACGTACTGCAGGTCTGAAAACGTAATCGGCGTGCCGACAAAATGCTTAAGAATAGGCAAACACAGTCTTGCCTGCATAGTCTGTCCTTCCAATAATGATCGGCCAAGTAGCCGTCCAATACCTCGGAAGTACAGCAAGTGATCCGCCGTACAGTCTTCTGAGTGTGGGTTAATGGCCACGGCCTGTGTATGTCGATGACACGTCATAAAGAGTCCGAGCTCATCGTCCAGCAATCTCCCAAACAAAATCGAAAACCACTCTCGCTGCAAACCTCCAGCGTCAATACCTGCTTCACCAATAAACTCAATTCGAAGTGGAAAATGAATATGTTCGGGTTGAATACCCAGTAACTGCTCCATACTCTCCACAAGAATATGTTCTCTCTGTACCCGAAGCTTAATTCGTCCTTCTTCCCACGGTCTTAGCAGCGCTCCCATGCGCTCCAAAAACCACGTATACTTTTTTGGAAACGGCAGTCTCGACACTCCGTCCAGCAGCTCTAGCTCGCGTGCAGTGAGTTTGTATCCGCTAATTGTCTCTGCTGCATCTAATTGCGAGGCTTCTGCAAACGTAAGACGTCCCATGTCTCCCATCATAGACGACCGACGTACCATGTGCGTTATAAAGCCCACTGATACTCGTCCATGGCCTCCCAAATTTGCAGTAGTACCGTTTGAGACCGTAAGTTTCCTAGTAGCTGCTGCAACGTCTGCTCTTGTCCAAAAGGCCGATTCTCCATCTTCACCAATACAACGCACCCATTCTTTTCGTCGTCGTGCATACTTTTGTCTCGTATTCAATGTCGAGAGTCTCAATGGTCTTAATGACGGTCTTGTGCTCCCACTAAGCACAGAAGACCTTTGCATTGAAAACGAAGGCCTCGATAACATCGTTACTGAACTAGCAGAGCTCAATCGCTCTTCTCTTCCTACAAGTGATTGTTTCAATCGTGGTAACTCTTCTCTATCAGAAGCTTGTCGAGGAGGTTTCGAGTTCTTTGTACCACATAAGAGACACATACGTCGATCCATGGCATTGCTAAACTCACAGATGGAGCATTTCCAGCGCTCTGCTTGCGCTTCACCACGTTCTACATCAAGTCTCGTGATTGTTTCCTGCTCTTGCAATAACATCCTACAGCATTACAACCAAACACACACGAGCACAAGAGCATTCATCGTTCAAAGATAAGGTCGAGAAATAAACCTCCTTAGAAGAATCTTCTTTGAAACCAATTGGCAAGTCTCTAGAAGTATAAACAAATCAAATGACAAACTGACCTGGCTAAGAAAGACTGTGATGCACTACGTAATTGTTTCCGAGTACGTAAGAACCATAATCCACCCGCAAATACTAGCAAAAGCATTAACGATACCATTGGTAATAACGCTGACATTGATTCATCGGATGCCATGCTTCAATACTATTGTTATTGTTTTGAGCTTGATACAATGGGGTTTAGTCACTCGTTCGCCACCTTATAGGCGCAATGCTAAACAAAATCCACGATAATGACCAAAATGGGCTACAATATTCCGCCCTTAAGGCGGAGCTAAACGCTAGTGCTTTTTTTCACTGTCTGGACCGGGCCTATTAATAACACACACACACACAACGACAACGTATGTAGATCGAGGTAGCTAGTGTAAAAGAATGTACTTTTCTTCACCAGCTGACAAACTGACTTGAGGGTATTGGACTGTCATGTCGTCGAATTGAAAAGAGTTTGACAAGTCTACTTGAATACAACTAGTCGTCGTCATTATCAAGATAAATAAAAAGCATGAAGTATGAACTATGAAGTATGAACGATATGTTCGCATGAAGCTTTTCAAAGTGTGAATGCCAAGTAAGGAAGAAAATTCATCCCATCTCGTGGCAAGTAGCAATGGTTCGAAGATGAAAAATGAAGATACATTATGCGAGATATTCTATGCACCAGAGACTTGTACTGCTTGGTCAAAACGCAACAGTAGCTCAAAGTTACGATCTGACTTGATTGTCTGGCTTGTTTTGTTAAATAAAATGGCCGTGACATGAGTTTGGTTCTTTTCGTCATATTTAAGTAGCATATATATTATAATAACAATGATTCTAGTAGCCCTACTATCAATTGTAACACATGGATGGATATAGCAGCATGTTTTCAGTGGTTTGGCCAATGTGGTGGATGGATGGCTCATGTACTGACTGCACTTATTCAGTGACAATATCTCACTTTAAGCCGGTTTTTTTGTATAATTATACAAGTAGTTTATGTAAATTAACAAGAGCTATATTATAAAGATCAATCGTAACAGAGCGATTTTTTTCAATTTTAGAGCTTTTAAATTCATTTTTGAGCAAATTAAGCTAAATTTAGATGGCCGCAAAAACTAAGTCAAAAAAGAAAGAAAGATGTGGATTTGTGGTGTGGTTTACACACTACCACGTCTTACAAGTTGCTGGCTATATCGAACAAGGTATAATACTTGTATGAATGACTTACAACAATAACGCCGTGTTCGTATCTATCCATTTGTCAATAAGTATCATGAAACAAGCTACGGCTTAGCTGCACCATTCTGACGTGGCAATGTCCGAACTTGTGACACGACTCCAAAGTAGATTCGTTTCGACTTGTCAACGTCACTAAGAGCTCTATTGCAATGACAGGAGTCTGTAGCAATGTGGTACAGTTCTGAAACTCTTTTATCAGAAAATCAAATTGACATGTTGACCTGACTCCCCGTCACTTGAGTCCTTGTTACAAGCGTGTAGGACTGTAAAATGAAGACTTACTCAAAGGTCTTAAATAACAATTGTTATCGTCGAGCAAAAGTGCTTTATATGGACAAATACTGACTGCTGCAGCAAATCCAGATGAAAAAAAGCATTAAACTTGTCATTACGTGAGGATACAATAAAGTTAGATACTGGCCAGCCCAACCAATCCTTTTTATTGCCGCAGCACTTGATAGCAGTTTCTGGCAGGCAAGCAAGCACTCAGCACACGCCAATCAAGAGACTTTGACATGCGTGAACCGATAGACCCATAGAAGTGGTTTATATCAGTACGAAGGCCTCAATTCCGTGTAGTATTTGACATTGCGACGTTATACTTGCGCCTCGCCCATTTATTCTTGTACCTTATGACTAAGCTTATCGTAAGCAAGCTTGTCGTTTTGCTAAACAAAGTTTGGTAACAACTCTTAACGCTGTATTCTAGTATGCTCCATATGATTACCACTTCCTTAAAGTGACTATAGTCCAAGAGTACGTCAAAGCGTTGGAATGAATGAATGATTACTGATGGACTTGTCGTAATAGCTGTCGCCGCCCGTTGACCTCTACGAAAGAATAATTTTCCTTTCTATCGTTATCTAGAGGATTAGTTTCGTTAGACAACAAGTTGAAGTGCATATTGTTCTGATTGGTCAATAGTCGGTACAAAATTGGATCATGGGTAAGTATTGTTTAACATACTAAAAAACGCCATTGTCATACAGTCTGTGTAAATAGTAAGGAAGTAGTATATCATGAGCAGCAATTTCCGTGACAGTGTCCGCAGTCAAAGTTCGGTACAACTTATGGGCTTTATCAATGAATGTGTGCAAGTGGATGTACAGGAGACAACAGAGGAAGGGGAGCTGCGTATTCGCGGCTATGAGACGTTACTGGAAACGTGCACAGCCGTTCTGTCCTGTATTCAAGTCTTACGTCGAATCATTCGAGAATACGCTTATGGACGAATGGGGCGAGAATTACAGCATTTATCACTTACAGTGGCATCTTTTGAGAGAGTTTTGTATACTTTTATCAAGGAAGAGATCATCGTAGCATCAAAGCATTATGCAAGTCAACCACCCGTGGACTTTCGTGCGAAAACAGCATTAAAGGATGTGATACCATTGATTCCGACGGATGAGAGGTATACAATACTATTAGGTGGAGTTGCGTCACTCTTACGACACGCAACCAAGTCGTTGGAGGAGACGCGTCAAGTACTCGAGGAGCTGCAGTCTGGATATAATCCGGATCGAGAGAACCAATGGTCTCAAACATCTGTGATCCTGTGTGTAACCTTTGTATTCCTCTACAAAAGGTTTCGGATCCGCAAGTCACTGAAGCAATTTGTGATGCAAGTTTTACCGACTAGACAGATGATCAAGTGGGGACTTTTGCTATTGGTAGCAATAGACTATTGGAACCGAGCCATGTATCGATTATCCAACTTGCGGCGGATTAAGGTGCACCACGCGCGAGTGTTGATGGCGTTAAGACTATTTCTGCTGTGTCAGCATGTGTTGCAGCGTGCCCGGCCAATCAGCAATGCTTCCGACCATCGACTACTGATTGATAATCCTATGGAGGCAGATATTGACGATGATCTGAAAAACGCTACGACGCTGCTGGTTGAGAAAGTCCCGCTGCCTGCTGAGTACTACGATCGATCCTCAGAGCCGTGGGGTTTCACAGCTTTTAAGATTGGTACAAATGTCCTAACTGCGTCAAGCGCCTTTGCGCACTCGATTCTGGGTCTACAGAACAAGCTGCTGCTCAAATTTCTCGGACCACCACTACTTGTAATGGCTATTCCGTACTATATGATCCGCAACCACAAAGCAGCACGCTACACGACGCGTACGCTCATCGACCATCCTAACGTGGATGTCATTCGAATGGGCTGGCAGGTGTTCGGCGAGTCTCGGCTTGTACGGCTCATCACAAGCCTTCAGTGCCCCAAGATTCCTGTGTTCGAAAATCAGTTTCTGGCAGTAGACGGGTCTGCCCTCAATAAGAATCGCATGGACACATCTGATATCAGTGTTTACCTATACAGTGCGCGGCCGATGGATTCCGTCAAGGCTGGGACATGGACGAATGCCTGTACCCCATTGACGACGCGAATGATCGCTTGTGGCTTACCTTCGACTCGTCCTGTTCTTCTGTATATCCACGGTGGAGGTTTCTTCGGACGGTTCATTGCAAAGGACTTTTATAACTTAATGAATTGGGCTTGTGTGCTAGGTGCAGTCATCGTCTACGTTGGTACGTTTCTTCTTGTAACTGTTTTATATCTTTCGTCACAGATTCCGTTATTGATTTTATGACAAACGTTGTGAAGATTATGGCCTCGCTCCTGAGACCCAATATCCACACTCAATGGAACAATGCTACACTGTGTATAAATGGGTGCTTGAGGGTGGACTAGGCTTCCGATCAGGCAAGATTGCGCTATTTGGTGAAAGTGCTGGTGCGTTTTCTGGATAATTTTGTACTATCGGTTGCTTAAGTATCTTCTTTGTGATCGGAATGTCTTCGAATTCTTTATGCAGGTGCAAACATGGGAGCCGCGCTTTGCATCCGATGCATTCAAGATGGTGTCGATCTTCCAAGTGGAAACGTGTTTATGTTTCCAGCTCTAAATCTGCATTTGTCTCCATCACCGTCGCGTTTCATTCACCAGAATGACCCAGTGCTTCCGCGTGGCATTCTTGAGCTGGCACTCACGTCCTACTACCCTTCGCACGGTCATTCGAACCAGTACAAGCTCAATATCCACGACCCATGTGTATCACCGGGCTTGGCTGAAGACGCCCTATTGGAAAAGTTCCCTCCAACATCCCTTGTGGTCGGTGACCTGGACCCGTTACTGGATGACAGTGTCGACTTTTACACGCGACTCGCGTTCTTGAAAGTGCCGTCGAGTTTAAAAATTTACTCGGGCCTTTCACATGGCTTCCTCATCTACGGTGACTTAGTTCCAGAAGCGCAAAAGGCGATTGATGAGACGTGTGAGCGCGTGCAAAACTACATTCGTCTGCGCTAACAAACACTGAGCATGGAGAGCTAAACACATGCGAGTGTAAGAGTTTGTTGCATGTTGTAGGCGCATGTAATGGTATAGAAAACCGGTATGCTATTGTATGGTGCAGTATATTTCGAATCTACTTTACTGTTTTATGTACCGACGAACGACGACAAAAAACAAAGCCTGTCTCCATGTCTTATCACTGCTGGACTGTCAGTATAAAGACCAAAATATCAACTAGGTTGCCTGCTCGCATGCGCAATATCCGATAAAAGTTACGAAAATGGATGTCACTATATTGACGATGATGGTTCATTGATCATATGTGGAAACATGAAGATTGCATGACAAACTCGTGCTGGAATGGAAGGATTCATTTATATACTTTTTGTGGAAAAAAAAGAACACTGCGATATGCCATTCAGGGAGATGGGGATAGAGCGGGCATACTAAACATAAACGATACTGTTTTGGGTGTTCTGTTAACGGCATAAAAGCACTTTCTTTGAACGTCACACAAGAGGTAGAAACAAAACTACAATCTTCTTCGAAGTATCCGCATAATGGCTACTACTGTGATAAATGTCTGCGACAATGTAAATTACACGTACTATACTTAACGTGAGACGAGTGTCTGTCACACGATTGCATTGACCAGAACAAAAAGTACCACCTTAAAGCATCAGAACAGCTATCGACGCATTGGTACCAGCAATATTCGACAGACTGAAACCAGTGCAAAATGGCTTTCGGAATCGGAAAAATACAACTTGAAATCCAGAATCGCAGTGCTGAACGTAATTTGTTTACAATACAATACTGAAACGGAGACGCAATGCTGCATGAGGCAGTACAAAATGATTTGTTTGCTTGAACATGAGTCTCAATATTGAGCGCTGTGTACTTGCATTTTGACTATTCCTCTACCAAACATCAGTACTATATATCCTTAGAACGACAAGCGCTCTGATTCGAATACATTGTTGTGGCCGACTCGAGTGTTGGACGCGTATATATTCACTTTGGGTACATGTAGTGCAGACAAAATGTAAAACGAGACGAAACATGCACCCGTACAGTTGTAATTGCATTATTCATTTGTAATAACTATGATCTAGTCCACGCGTAGGTACACACCTATGAGCTTGTAAATTGGATACCACGTCTCGACCAACTTTTGCTTCAGACTAAATGGAATTGTTGGAAAATCCGGGTCTCGATGATTATTGTCGTCCTTTCTCCAGCAGCCCTCTTCAACGAGAGCTTTCACGACAAGGCAACCCCGGTTGCTTTCAGCTCCTTGAGCTCCGCTGCCTGTCTCTGTGTAAACCTGCATCTTACAGCGAAGTGCTGGGTACGTCCTGTCGATTGGCCATGAGCTTATTTCCAATACAAAGCTATTTGGCGATGTTACGTTGCCGCGGTAGTCTCCATAGCTGTGTGTGCCTAGAGGAGACGAACTCGAAATACCACTGGGGAAGCTGCTAAAGACTCGTTGCCGACTATCCAGCATCAACGACATACCAAACCGGTTGTTTATCTTCATTTTTAGCGTCCCAGTGGCAAAGCTGCAGACATTCCAGTCCGAACATATCTCGAGTGACTGGTCATCTAACGGGCGAATATTGACTCGAGCAAATTCACGCATGAATGTCAACACACACCAAAGAGACACTTCGTGCTGAGTGGAGCCCGGAATCGGCATCAGTGAGGATCTTTGTCCATCAAAAACCCACGTGCCGTCAAACGCTGATACCTGGTTTTCCACTGTCCATGCTAACATGCTAAGCGTTGTGCGACAGTTCTTCAATAGATACTGTGCTCGAATTTGCGCCACAAATTGGTGCATTCCAAACATCTTGTTTGACATGAGAACATCCGTCAAGATACGTCGAAGCGGCTTCAGGTAGTCGTATGTAAATACAACCACCATGATCTCTTCGCAGAGCAATGACAGCCATGTTGACGACGTAGAGGACGGGTTCTCGCTCCATCCTGTAAAACGGTCAATCAGTTTGCCTATCAATTTGACGGCTTCCACATATCCATCACGTACTCGGTTCTTATCTAGCAACACTTCCCCATGAGATTGAAAAAACCGACGGTAGATCTCAAGGTTGGAACTGTCCAGGGCCAGCCACCCCACCAGGTTCATACACATCTGCACGAGTCGTTTGAGTGAGTTACGCCCTCCTTCAACAGCCTCGCTCGTGTCGTCAAATCTTCCCTTATCATTTTCAACTTGATTGAGGGATTTCAGAAATGCCCACGAAAGCGGTGGGCCAACCGGTGCCTCGATGCCGCTGTCCTTTTTCCACTTTTTCCCTATGACTGCGTAAAAGCCTGCAATTTGGTCGCTGAACAGCACACTTAACTGATCTAGGCAAGTTGGGAACGACAATGCGTTCAAATGACGTAGAAAGTAGTAAAGGATGGCGAGCTGCTTTGACGACGTCATGACGTCAGTGTGCTGACACTCCCACAGCTTTCTGTTCCGCCAGAGTCCTTCTTCGCTCTCCGTTATTTGCAAAGAATGAGAGCTAGAAGACTTGCGCTCAGGAAGTATTGCTGCATGCACACTGCTAGTCTCATAGCTATCCACAGAACCACCTGATTGTATACTGGCCACCGCCCGTAGCATCTCCAGGGCCTCACGCTCCGCTCGCACTCCGCTTGGAGCTCGCCGATAGGAAACGACCATAAAGTCTGACGAGGAGACTGTACCCACGACGCGCAGTTGTGACTGAACCTGCTGAAAGATGTAAACGCGCAATGCGTGCTTGGTGAACCGTTGCACCTTTGTGGCCGCACTTTCCCATTCGTAGTACCAGTGCGCGCTGGGGTTGATCTGAAACATACTGCTCTGCTGTCGATCATAAGGATCCCCACTTCAGCCCCAATAGTGTAGTTTAATTACAAGGAGATCAGACAGGAAAGTCACGTACATCGTTGGTAGTTTTGCTCATTACAAAGCCTTCGATCCACGTCCCTTTCGGCGTCTCATTTGTCTGGGTAAAACCTATCACGTCGTTGTAGTCAAGCACGTCGTTGAGCGAAAGGAAATTAGTCAGGGCCTCTTCGAAGCGGGCGAATACAAGTAACTTGGCTGGATTGATCGTATTGACAGTCGTGCAGGTAGTTTGTTGTTGGGCATTGAGGTTTGACGGGTTAATGAGCTGCACACTTACGTAGAGAGCCGAGCCGCAGTAACTTCGATTGAGATGTTCAGGACAGCAATGTGGGAAGCAGCGTAAGATCTATTCGAGCCAAATTAAAGGACGTTATCAACATTCCAACAAACCATGAGCTACATTTGTAGAGTTTTAATTGGTATGGCAGCAAACCTTTGTTTTCTTGGTGCGATTAGTCCTGTGAGAGTAATACATACATTTTGTATTAGATAATAATTTTCAAAAGGGACCCTTTTTCTTACGTCTCTCTAGTAAAACAACTGATATCTCTTTTTAGGTTTCTAATTGATCTTCCTACCGTTTGTATTTACTCTGAAAGAGAGCTGGATGGAAGCACCCACGTCGCTCAAAGTGACACACGACGGTGCTCATTATTACTGTAGTAATTCAATGAAATTGATCGTTTCGATTCAAATGGAAACTGGCACTCGGTGTGTCCGTGTCCCCCAGAGTGAGGCTATCTTTCGGTATCCAACCTTAACCCTTACAAGGATGCGCGGAATCCGTCCACCTTTCATGCACCGTTGACAAGCATACGATTTGCTTCTTACATTTGACTACTACTAAAGACCAATAAACGCCTATGATATGGAACTGTAGGGTGAGAAGCCAGTATCGAGGACCAATCGGTGCATGCACCGTTGACAAGCGATTTGCTTCTTACATTTGACTACTACTAAAGACCAATAAACGCCTATGATATGGAACTGTAGGGTGAGAAGCCAGTATCGAGGACCAATCGGTGCATGCACCGTTGACAAGCGATTTGCTTCTTACATTTGACTACTACTAAAGACCAATAAACGCCTATGATATGGAACTGTAGGGTGAGAAGCCAGTATCGAGGACCAATCGGTGCATGAAAGGTGGACGGATTCCGCGCATCCTTGTAAGGGTTAAGGTTGGATACCGAAAGATAGCCTCACTCTGGGGGACACGGACACACCGAGTGCCAGTTTCCATTTGAATCGAAACGATCAATTTCATTGAATTACTACAGTAATAATGAGCACCGTCGTGTGTCACTTTGAGCGACGTGGGTGCTTCCATCCAGCTCTCTTTCAGAGTAAATACAAACGGTAGGAAGATCAATTAGAAACCTAAAAAGAGATATCAGTTGTTTTACTAGAGAGACGTAAGAAAAAGGGTCCCTTTTGAAAATTATTATCTAATACAAAATGTATGTATTACTCTCACAGGACTAATCGCACCAAGAAAACAAAGGTTTGCTGCCATACCAATTAAAACTCTACAAATGTAGCTCATGGTTTGTTGGAATGTTGATAACGTCCTTTAATTTGGCTCGAATAGATCTTACGCTGCTTCCCACATTGCTGTCCTGAACATCTCAATCGAAGTTACTGCGGCTCGGCTCTCTACGTAAGTGTGCAGCTCATTAACCCGTCAAACCTCAATGCCCAACAACAAACTACCTGCACGACTGTCAATACGATCAATCCAGCCAAGTTACTTGTATTCGCCCGCTTCGAAGAGGCCCTGACTAATTTCCTTTCGCTCAACGACGTGCTTGACTACAACGACGTGATAGGTTTTACCCAGACAAATGAGACGCCGAAAGGGACGTGGATCGAAGGCTTTGTAATGAGCAAAACTACCAACGATGTACGTGACTTTCCTGTCTGATCTCCTTGTAATTAAACTACACTATTGGGGCTGAAGTGGGGATCCTTATGATCGACAGCAGAGCAGTATGTTTCAGATCAACCCCAGCGCGCACTGGTACTACGAATGGGAAAGTGCGGCCACAAAGGTGCAACGGTTCACCAAGCACGCATTGCGCGTTTACATCTTTCAGCAGGTTCAGTCACAACTGCGCGTCGTGGGTACAGTCTCCTCGTCAGACTTTATGGTCGTTTCCTATCGGCGAGCTCCAAGCGGAGTGCGAGCGGAGCGTGAGGCCCTGGAGATGCTACGGGCGGTGGCCAGTATACAATCAGGTGGTTCTGTGGATAGCTATGAGACTAGCAGTGTGCATGCAGCAATACTTCCTGAGCGCAAGTCTTCTAGCTCTCATTCTTTGCAAATAACGGAGAGCGAAGAAGGACTCTGGCGGAACAGAAAGCTGTGGGAGTGTCAGCACACTGACGTCATGACGTCGTCAAAGCAGCTCGCCATCCTTTACTACTTTCTACGTCATTTGAACGCATTGTCGTTCCCAACTTGCCTAGATCAGTTAAGTGTGCTGTTCAGCGACCAAATTGCAGGCTTTTACGCAGTCATAGGGAAAAAGTGGAAAGAGGACAGCGGCATCGAGGCACCGGTTGGCCCACCGCTTTCGTGGGCATTTCTGAAATCCCTCAATCAAGTTGAAAATGATAAGGGAAGATTTGACGACACGAGCGAGGCTGTTGAAGGAGGGCGTAACTCACTCAAACGACTCGTGCAGATGTGTATGAACCTGGTGGGGTGGCTGGCCCTGGACAGTTCCAACCTTGAGATCTACCGTCGGTTTTTTCAATCTCATGGGGAAGTGTTGCTAGATAAGAACCGAGTACGTGATGGATATGTGGAAGCCGTCAAATTGATAGGCAAACTGATTGACCGTTTTACAGGATGGAGCGAGAACCCGTCCTCTACGTCGTCAACATGGCTGTCATTGCTCTGCGAAGAGATCATGGTGGTTGTATTTACATACGACTACCTGAAGCCGCTTCGACGTATCTTGACGGATGTTCTCATGTCAAACAAGATGTTTGGAATGCACCAATTTGTGGCGCAAATTCGAGCACAGTATCTATTGAAGAACTGTCGCACAACGCTTAGCATGTTAGCATGGACAGTGGAAAACCAGGTATCAGCGTTTGACGGCACGTGGGTTTTTGATGGACAAAGATCCTCACTGATGCCGATTCCGGGCTCCACTCAGCACGAAGTGTCTCTTTGGTGTGTGTTGACATTCATGCGTGAATTTGCTCGAGTCAATATTCGCCCGTTAGATGACCAGTCACTCGAGATATGTTCGGACTGGAATGTCTGCAGCTTTGCCACTGGGACGCTAAAAATGAAGATAAACAACCGGTTTGGTATGTCGTTGATGCTGGATAGTCGGCAACGAGTCTTTAGCAGCTTCCCCAGTGGTATTTCGAGTTCGTCTCCTCTAGGCACACACAGCTATGGAGACTACCGCGGCAACGTAACATCGCCAAATAGCTTTGTATTGGAAATAAGCTCATGGCCAATCGACAGGACGTACCCAGCACTTCGCTGTAAGATGCAGGTTTACACAGAGACAGGCAGCGGAGCTCAAGGAGCTGAAAGCAACCGGGGTTGCCTTGTCGTGAAAGCTCTCGTTGAAGAGGGCTGCTGGAGAAAGGACGACAATAATCATCGAGACCCGGATTTTCCAACAATTCCATTTAGTCTGAAGCAAAAGTTGGTCGAGACGTGGTATCCAATTTACAAGCTCATAGGTGTGTACCTACGCGTGGACTAGATCATAGTTATTACAAATGAATAATGCAATTACAACTGTACGGGTGCATGTTTCGTCTCGTTTTACATTTTGTCTGCACTACATGTACCCAAAGTGAATATATACGCGTCCAACACTCGAGTCGGCCACAACAATGTATTCGAATCAGAGCGCTTGTCGTTCTAAGGATATATAGTACTGATGTTTGGTAGAGGAATAGTCAAAATGCAAGTACACAGCGCTCAATATTGAGACTCATGTTCAAGCAAACAAATCATTTTGTACTGCCTCATGCAGCATTGCGTCTCCGTTTCAGTATTGTATTGTAAACAAATTACGTTCAGCACTGCGATTCTGGATTTCAAGTTGTATTTTTCCGATTCCGAAAGCCATTTTGCACTGGTTTCAGTCTGTCGAATATTGCTGGTACCAATGCGTCGATAGCTGTTCTGATGCTTTAAGGTGGTACTTTTTGTTCTGGTCAATGCAATCGTGTGACAGACACTCGTCTCACGTTAACTATAGTACGTGTACCTTTTTTTGCAATGATATCACACATCCTACATGCACTTGTTTGGGCTACGTGTCCAGTAGCATTCACGCACTTTCTAACACAACATCTTACTTGGTGATGAAGGGTGTGATATCGCAATCTAATCGATTAATGGCCGGATGATCATACTTGTCCGATATTTTTGTGTAATCGAAGCCTGCTCTGAGAGCCTAATTTAGAAAAAGATTGGAAAAATGTTCTCACAATAGTGTACTCACCGCCTGGTACTTGCTGAGACCAGTTTAATTTGCTTGATTATCCACATCAATGTTTCGCCCCTGTAGCAACTGGAGCTTCCTGTGCGCTTTCTCCCTTCTTAAAAATGTTTGGTGGGCCCCATTAAATTTCCTAACGATAAAGTTTATATTTGAAATCACAGTGGCAGATCTCTCAGTACAATCAATCCTAAGTGATGGTGGGTCTTCTTACTATTAGAAGGCAGAACGAATCAAAACAACCAGAGCTGACACACTTAGAAGAGTGGTAGTTTCGTTTTTTCTTATCTAGCCTCAAATTATTATGGTAAATTATAAATTGAAAATTCCATACCTTCTTAGCTCTGACGTGAAAACGATAACCAGCAGCCGATACTCGTACCACATTATTGACTGATCATATTGAAGCCCGCCTTTTAAAATTGCCTCGCAACATTGATTGAGCGATGCTTGCACGAGAGGTTGTTGCAAGAAACTTTCTTGGTACATCTTCAGCAGTGCGCAGACTTGCAGTAGCGTTAGCGCCGTTCCGGCTTGCAATTTTGGACAGGAGTGATCCGTACAGTAGCGTGCTTGCACTTATGTTTGACGATGGTTGAACCGTGCAATATTGGACTCCGCATGTCCCTTGACGTGAAAAAATGGCCCAGCAGCATTTTGAAACATCTCAGTCTCCTTGTGAGAAGTGCGTAAGGTGAAGATTCGCAAATATTCAGACACCTCCAAACGGCTATGCTAATGAACGTGCTTGATGTCGGACCTGGCTTGGCGATCCGAAAAATTCTGCATGCTGCGTTGCAATAGCGCTGAGCTGATTTTGCTTGTGATGCTCACACTTTCCTCCTCTACAAAGTCCTGCACATACTATCGTCCGGCGAGAGCCCCTCCTAAGCCATAAGCTACATGCTACTCTCACGATCTGCACCAACATCCTCCTGTCAAGCCTTGCTGATTCCGGTGCATAAACCATGGCTACATCTCACCCCGTGTAAATTGTGCACGTCGAATATACCATAAACCTGTCCTGTCCGCAACGGCAGCAGCCATACGAGAGACAAGCGCTGAGAGGGCAGGTTGCACATTATACTCGGGTAACGGATGCCGTGTGGGTTTTAATAGAAAAGTCAAAACTAAAGCTACGAGCTTGCTATGAGCTGCTGGCGATCCCGACTGGATATGCAGTAATACATACAGGGTATTTGGGCCTGAGAGCATTGTCATGTATGTGCAATTGACCCATTGTTGTGCATAAGGCCCAATATGAAGGTTGATGCATCTGCTTGGCGACCTCATGAATTGGTGTTGCATTTACGTGCGTAGGCTACATGTATTTATGCATATTTGCAATTTTATTAGCGAAGCATAAGGTATGATTGGCCAAGTTGCTTCATTTAGTGAACAGGTGTTTGGGGCTCACCGGAGCTTCGTCCTCCACGCAATCGCCTTATGTATTGCATATTACAAAGCAAAGTAATACCTAGAATTTGTCAGTAGGACAAGTCACGGAGTGACAATTTAGGGACAAACGAATGAGTGGAAAAGAGTCACCAGCTCATCCCTGTAGATTCAGCTAAATGACAACCCTCCCAGTTGCACCCAAATTTGCAACAGTGTTTCCATCCTTGAAGCTTCAAAAGATACGAGCACTTGGAATCTATGCATGTCAAAAGGATTTATCACAAACGATTTGCGCCAACAGGTCTCACACACATGAACCTCCAGTGAACACTGTATTTTACCGAAAAGCGTCAGCACATTACCTTCTCTACTACTTTGCTTTTCTAGAAACAAATCATTTTAATGACATACCTATGTGGTTTGCATTGCCTGTTAATTTATCAGCTTGTTAGAAAATAAGCCGAAGATATGAGACGAATTATGACCGCCAAGGCCTCATATTAGTAGCTGTAAGATACATTAACTATTGAATCCAATAACAATACCTAGCACACATTTTCTTTTTTCACACCAACAGTAAACAGACCTCCACCAGAAACTGAGCACTACAAATACATATAAAAGCGTCTAGGATTTTCTATTCAGTCCTCGATTTTGCTATGTTCTACATCTGTTGTCTATTTCCAGGCCCAACATTGCAGGCTGATTGCTCTTTGAGACGGCTGCTGAAGACACTCACTACACGATACACTAACTACACAGACCCACACCGCTATTCACATCGCTCACAACGTTAAGACCTTCAAACGTCTAATGCATCATCACCTCTCGTCCAGCTTCTCCATCAGTCTGATAGACTTGACACACAAACAGACTGCAACAGTGCTAGCACATCAGTCTGCCGGATATAGGACAGACTGCCAGAATGCTAGCACATCAGTCTGCTGGATATAGGACAGACCGCAAGAATGCTAGCACATCAGTCTGCCGGATATGACAGACTGACATACTGTTAGCACAGATAGTCTACTCGCAGAGATGTCGTCTGCTTCGATGTATTGTCGGCGGAAGGATGGCAACGTCAGTGACTGCTTCCAGACATCCATACATGATGGAGGTGGGTAACAAATGACGTCGTGTGTTTGAACATGGTGGGCATGGGCTGGTGAGTATAAGTAGACGATTGAAGCATGTAGTAGAATTGTCGATAGTTGGTACACTATGATGCATATCGATGTGAAAGCGTCCCCGTGGCCCAATGGATAAGGCATCCGCCTACGAAGCGGGAGATTGCGGGTTCGAGTCCCGTCGGAGACTTCCTTATGTCGCTGACAAATTATTATCTTGCAGAAGCACTCGTATCTATTGCAACACCACTGAGCCAAAAATGGTCAAGATATCCTAGTCAAGTGTGTCAATTGCTTATCCTACAGGATCGCTGCAACATAGCTGTACAATTGATCGACGAGCTGACGTCAGTGCTGATGGTATGTAGAGTAAGTGCCACATACCGTAGATGGTAGGGGATATCATGACTTATTAGGTTCTGCTGCTGTCCAAGCGTACTACTCTGTGTCGAATTGGCTACTACAGCCTTCTATTTAGCTCTTGCTTTTGCTATGTTCTACATCTGATGTCTACTTCCAGGCCCAACATTGCAGGCTGATTGCTCTTTGAGACGGCTGCTGAAGACACTCACTACACGATACACTAACTACACAGACCCACACCGCTATTCACATCGCTCACAACGTTAAGACCTTCAAACGTCTAATGCATCATCACCTCTCGTCCAGCTTCTCCATCAGTCTGATAGACTTGACACACAAACAGACTGCAACAGTGCTAGCACATCAGTCTGCCGGATATAGGACAGACTGCAACAGTGCTAGCACATCAGTCTGCCGGATATAGGACAGACTGCCAGAATGCTAGCACATCAGTCTGCCGGATATAGGACAGACCGCAAGAATGCTAGCACATCAGTCTGCCGGATATGACAGACTGACATACTGTTAGCACAGATAGTCTACTCGCAGAGATGTCGTCTGCTTCGATGTATTGTCGGCGGAAGGATGGCAACGTCAGTGACTGCTTCCAGACATCCATACATGATGGAGGTGGGTAACAAATGACGTCGTGTGTTTGAACATGGTGGGCATGGGCTGGTGAGTATAAGTAGACGATTGAAGCATGTAGTAGAATTGTCGATAGTTGGTACACTATGATGCATATCGATGTGAAACCGTCCCCGTGGCCCAGTTGAAAGTTTGTCTATATTGTAATAAAATAGGCAGGGTGACTAATCAATCTGCAAGACTAATAGAATACACTAATATACCTACCCTGATACTATAAATTTTTTTTTTTTTTGTGTGTGCGTGTCCGAAATTGGCTTCGTATTTTTGGCTTTTAGAAATTTTTTTTTTTTTTTAATTTCCAAATAAGCCGACTTAAAATGATAAGTCAATGCGAAATGGGCAATGCACAATAGCATCACGTGCAGCCGCCCTCTCGCCCCAGTCGTCTCACCTGCCGCAGACGTGTCGACCAGAAACGACACGTCGGCTGAGGTCCCACTGGTACCTGGGAGCTACGGCAGGAAAGGCGTGTGACCCCCGACGTGTCCATGTAAGAATGTTGAAACGCGTTTCTAAACTTAGAAATGTTTCTAAGTCGCAGTTTTAACTGCCGAGCGGTTTGCGTGGACCGATGCGTGTGATGGCGCCCGGTGTTGTTTGTTGTTGTGGTGTTGTTGTTGTGCTGGTGCTGTTGGTGTTGGTGGTGTTGGTAGTGCTGGTGTTGTTGTTGTTGGAGTGAGTGAGTGAGTGCTGGTGGTGTTAGAGTTGGTGTCG